TAGTCAATTTGAAATTGAATTTACTTTTATATTATAATATTATTATTAATAATACATAATATGTAATAATATTAATATAAATTAATTATTATAAATAAATGGATTTTTACTCTAATGTAGTTTTTAAATTTAAATTTAGAACAATCATCATCAAATACATTCTTCTTGAACTGCCTTTGCAGGAGAAAGTGTTTAGAGTCCTCTCCAGCTCCTGTCTATTTAACACAGATTGCATTTTTTTAGCCAAATGATGTCCTCTTCTCTTCTATTACTTCATTCACAGGCTTGACAACGAGATTCGACCTGATAGCAGTGTTGCAGATTCAATTTCTTCTTGTTTTTTTCTTCAATCTTTCAGAGAAATCTCATTTCTGACACTTCTATTTCTGATTGGTATTCCTTGGTCAAGGTCCATGGTTCTGAAGAATACATCAAAATGGAGAGAAATGTTGACATAAAAAAACCTACTTTTGTCTTCTTTTTCGTCTAAACCTCTTATCCGTTTCAAAATCCTGCCTTAATCTCTTTAATGATCGTTGGTTTCAAATCTGATAGTGGGATCCACTATGAGTGCCTCCTTTTCCATCAAATTGAATGCCAAGAAGTCAATGAACCTTGTTGAGCCCTCTATATCCAGGCAGTAACTTTGAGGAAACATTTATAGTTTTTTATTTCAAGGAATTTGGCTATACGATGCTTTATATTGTTGTGCCGGTGGGTGACTAGGAGCATGTTATGCGGACAATTGCCCAACACATGAGCTGGGGTTTCTTATTCTTGGCCACATTTGCGGCAGAAAATAAATGAAATTAAAATAGATAAAACACATTAACACCTACATATACAATATTTACATTCGCCTGTTAAAACTTTAAACTAAATAGCTTTAAAAAAAAAATTGGGTAACTTTGCTCGCGTCCGTACATTGTACACGTTATAACTAAATGAGCAATATTGTCGCCGCGAAGACAGTTCAACAACATAAAATCCACCAAAATATGAATCCATCAAAATTAAGGAAACCAAAAGGCCCAGTCAGCACACAGCTAAAGGCTATGTTCAGGAACGCTGGTGACCTAACTGCTGACAAATTCACAGAATGGAAGACGATCATTACAAAGGAGGATGCTGATTTATATGGGATCGTAGAAGCCGGCTCATCCACTGAAAATATCCAGTTCTACCAATTACCGGGATATCAAACTTATGAACTGCAGAGATCCAGGCAGGTTGCATCAGGAATAATTGTCGCTGCTAAATCATCCCTCAAGGTAACCTTTTCAATTAAAAAGAAGATGGAAGAGGATGATAAATTGGAGGCTGTACAGTTAGATGTTTGGAAAAATAAAATCCATAGGAGATTTTATGTAATGTACAACCCCTCAATGAATAGACCAGACATATCCTGGCTTGAAGCTCAGTGGGGATCCCAAGACGTTTTGTATGGCGATATTAATGCCCCATCCACGAGATGGGATTATAACCAAACATCAGCCGTTGGTAGGATTTTTGAGGATTTCATTGACTCGAATCCAGTAGAAATTATTAGAAGAGAAGACAACAGCCCAACGTTTATTTCATACCGGGGCAATGCTAGCAATCCGGATGCAATTCTGACTCACACGAATTTAAAAAATGACATTCACTGTTCTGTGGAACATGCACCAGGAGAATTAGGACACAAGATATTAAAAATAATAATTAGGACCCATAATACTAGTGGACTCTCTGAACCTCGATTAGCCAAATGGAACTTGAAAAAAGCTAAATGGAAATTATTTTCCAAGATATGTGATTTAAAGTTAAATGAACATGTAATACAAGGTAATGTTGATGTTATTAATAAGAAAATATGTGAAACAATCTTAAAATGTGCCACAGAAACTATTCCTAGAGGTTGCGTTAAGAAATATTCTCCTTTCTGGAATGCTCATCTGCAGAGATTGAAGGAGGATAGAAATGCCGCCCGAGAAATATATCAAAACAGCAGACAGGAGAGTGATAAAACACGTCTGAAAGCTACAGGAGCTTTACTGAAAAGGGAAATAATTGAGGCTAAAAGGAGTTGCTACAGACAATTCTTGGAAAAGCTATATTTTAGGAAAGATGGAGTCCAAGCTCACCGCTTCCTTTCTAAAATCAACAAGAACACAGAAACTAAGAAGAATAATCCTTTTGTTACGGCGTCCGGAAAAAATCTTACATCGGATTTGGCTATTGCCAAGTTCTTCTGTTCATATTACTCCAAGGCTAGTAATTACCATACAAGACCCATTCAGAAAGTGAAATTTAAAGAATCTGCAACCTGTCTCAATGAATCAGAAACGTCGATTTTTTGTTCCCCATTCACTGCTACTGAGTTAAATTCAGCTATTGAAAAGATGCCATGTAAAAAAAGCGCAGGGCCAGATAATATCCTTCCTGAATTTATAAAACATCTAGGGAAGTCTGCGAGGGCTATTCTCCTGCGGTTTATGAACAAGATCTGGAGAAAAGGATTGCCAAGTGCATGGCGGAAGACTGAAATAATCCCTATCCCTAAGAAAGGTAAGACTCCAAACAAACCAGAACACTGTAGACCAATCGCCCTCACCAGCATGCTCTCAAAATTGTTTGAACGACTAGTATTGTCTCGACTTGAGAATTTCATGGAAAATAAGCGAGCTATCTCTGACAAACAAGCAGGATTTAGAAAACACAGGAACACGGTGGAGCACATGGCATACCTTTCACATGAAATAAAAAATGGTTTCCACAGAAAGCAAAGTACATTGGCGATTTTTGTAGACTTTAAAGCAGCATTTGATAAAGTCTGGATAGAAATGCTGTTACTAAAAATTAGAAATATGGGTGTGGCAGGTAATATGTTCAAATGCATTTATTCTTTTTTAGCGCAGAGACATATCCGGGTAAAATATAATGGTGTAGTTTCACCTTATAAACAGACAAGAAAAGGAGTCCCCCAGGGTGCAGTTTTAAGTCCAATTTTGTTTAACATCATGATTAATGATGTAATTGAAATACTAGAAGCTATTCCCGGAGTTCAAACACTTCTCTATGCAGACGACTTAGTTATCTGGGCTACTAGTAGCCACATGAAAGCTATTGAATGTTGCTTAAATAATGTTTTAATATCATTACATAAATGGACGGTGGACAACCAGTTTGAGGTTAATACTATCAAAACTCATTATCAAATCTTTACCCTCTCGACTAAAAAACAAGAAGTAGATATTATATATAATAATGAGAAGCTGACTCAGACTGATTCTGCAACATACTTGGGTATAAAATTAGACTGCAAACTTACTTGGAAGTACCATTTAGATAAATTAATTGAGCAAGGAGAAGGCAGATTAAGCTTGCTAAAAAGACTGGCAGGAATTAAATGGTGCGCTCACGAAGAATTACTAACCCTGGCATACAAGTCATACATTAGACCTGTAATGGAATATGGTGGTGAGATATTATTGACTGCATCAGAAAACTCACTGCATGCCTTGGATATGGTGCAAAACAAGGCTTTGAGACTGATTACAGGGGCTGCGAAATCCACACCAATTGCAGCACTCCAGCTACAAACGGGAATAGAACCACTTCAAACAAGGAGAGAAGTAGCAGCAATCTGCCTTACAGAGAGAATGAAAAGACTAGGTTTGAAGTACTGGGCTGTTCAAGAAACATCTGTCCAGCGCCTCAAGACGCAAAAATCACTAAGAGTAAAAGTTATAGAACTACTGGAAAGAAATCACCTAGATCTAGGCATGAGTCTGCCATTTAATAAATGCAGTGACCATCAAAGATTTATTGCAGAGGCACGGCTAGATCTAACACAACCAGTAAGGAAACACCAAACACCTGAGTGGGAATTGAAAGCTCTTGCTTTGGAAACAATAAATAGCCGCTACTCCGAGCAGAACTGGCTCCACGTATACACCGACGGCTCCGCTCAAACAGCTACGCGGAATGCAGGAGCAGGAGTATACTGCCAAGATTTCATGTTATCCATCCCTGCTGGTAGCCGGGGAACAAACTTTGATGGAGAAGTCAAAGCCATTTCGGCAGCATTGACTGCAATAGAAAAATAACTCACCTTTTCCCAAGTTGTGATCTTTGTCGATTCACAAGCAGCCATACTGTCGATCTGCAATGGCCTGGACCATCCTGATATCACTAGTGCCAGAAATCGGATTAATGACTTAATTAAAAAAGGAATCCGAGTGGCTTTCCAATGGGTTCCAAGCCATTGCGGGCTACCAGGAAACGAAAAAGCTGATGTGCTCGCACGGATCGCCTCGGGAATGCCACAAACTAATCCCCAGCTGCCCTACGAATCTGTTAAAAGGATTTTAAAATCATTTTACAAGGAAGAGAATAAGATTTGGCAAAAGCGACAGGCAGCGGGGAAAAAATGGGAATGTTTAACAGAGGAGCCGATAAAACAAACCAAAAATAGGAAAGAATCGGTGGCAAACTTCCGCATGGCAACAGGGCACGATTACCTGCAAAGGCATTTACATAGGATCGGAGTGGTGGAAAGTCCTGTGTGCCCTCTTTGCCAACAGGACGAGATGTACGACCTGCACCTCCCAGTTTGCCCCGCTCTGTCAGATGTCCGCAGTACTTCTGATGGGATCGGAACAAATGTAAACAAACGATTCATGGCGGAATTGTACTGGGCTGCCAGAAGCCGAATGGCCTAATAGCCAACGGCAGGGCGTTTAATAAAAAAAACAAAAAAACATTCGCCTAGGGGACTCTGAGTCATGCTTTGTCCTTAACATGTGGAGGCCAGTGGAAACTAATGGAGAGGGCACTAGAGCAAAAGACGCTCCGGACTTGAGTGGAGTCTGGCTTTGTATACCCAAGTAGCTTTGTATACCCAAGAACATATTTACATAGCTAAATGGAATTATGATAATAATTTTTATCTGAATGTATGTTGAAATTTATGTGATATTATATTTTATTTATGTTACAAAATCTCACAATCACACTACTAAAAACTTGTTGTTGAAATTACAAAATGAACTGCTGGTTTGTATTTATCAAAATATTGTACAACAGCTTATTTATGAAAATTGCAGATATTATATTTTTTAATTTTATATACTTATAACATATAAATATTTTTTTATGTTCTCTTTTAGTGAAGGAGAGCCTTCGGCCAGTAGTTCAAGGAACCCACGTAAAGGGATGTTCAATAGAAAGTAAGTACTACTATCTATTTAATATTAAACTGAATGTAAAACTTTTACTTGATATATTTAAATTGATTAAATGATAGTAGTGTTGTAAATTTTACTATTTAATATACTAAATGGGTCATTTCAAAATTCCAGTCATATTTGGTCATCAATTTTTTTTTTTTTAAAGAGAGAGAAATAGCATGTTTTTTTACTTCTTAGTAATCTATACAGGGTGTACTGGAAGTAAAGGAAAATGTTTATAGGAGTGATAGCAGACCTCAAGAGCTACAAAAAAGGTCATATAAACAATGGGCCAATTTTCTGCAGAAATGTAGGAAATCCAAGTTTTGTGTTTTCCCGTTTTTTAAGTTTCCGTTGTTTTGTTGAAGAGGAAGTGATAACTAAGGAAATGTTTAATTAAAAATTTCTTCAATGTAAACTAGATACAATTTACTTCAAATCGAATAGAGTTTGTCATGGTTAAAACCATTTAAAGGAGACTTTTGAGAGGCTAAACTACGCTAAATTCTGTTTATAAAAAAAAATCATAAATTATTCCTGATTTTTTTTTATGGTCGTCTAATTTCGGTGGATGACTAGGAGCATGTTATGCGGACAATTGCCCAACACATGAGCTGGGGTTTCTTATTCTTGGCCACATTTGTGGCAGAAAATAAATGAAATTAAAATAGATAAAACACATTCACACCTATATATACAATATTTACATTCACCCAGGGGACTGTGAGTCATACTTTGTCCTCAACATGTGGAAGCCAGTGGAGACTGATGGAGAGGGCACTAGAGCAATAGACGCTCAAGACTTGAGTGGAGAATCTGGCCATTGCCAGTACTTCAATATATACATATTTACAAAAGGTTGCAGGGACGCTAACACAAAAAAGAAGGAGAATTGTAGGGATGGCTGGAGTTAGATAAGGATTGTGTTACAGGATTTGAATGATAATTGCGGTTCAGGTTCGACACCCTCTTCCAGCCTGACTTTTTTTACAGCTCCTCAGAAAATGCTTCTCATCTTGCCCCTCTCTGCTGTCCGAAAATGTTTTTCATAGAAATCCTTTTTACTGGCTGATTATTTTTAGGGCAGGGCTGCCTCTCTACTTTTCCATAAAATTTCTAATTTTTTTCTGATTTTTATGATTCCTAAGTTTTATTGTGCTTACCTCACTATGAAGATTATAGATCTTTTGTGGGGGCAGCAGTGCTGACCATCTGTGGATCAGGTATTTACCTTCAAGATTCTGAGTCTTTATTGTTGACAATATTTATTTTTCTTTGCACTGGAATAACTACACATACTTTAATTTATGAAATATATTTAATTTCAATATTATCATTCTCGACATTTGTATTTTATCAATATTCTACTATTTTAATTATAATTATAACTCTTAAACATTATTCTCTTTGTAGTTATGGAAAAACTCCAGCTGCAAAGCTATATGAAGCAGTGACTGTTAAACAGCAGTAGTAAGTACCAATTTATATACTTCTAAACTCTACTTAACTAATTTCTTAGGGGGTATATTATTTTTGTGGCATTGGAATGATTGTTGGATTACAAATACTTTATTTGTAGAATACACTATAAACAATTTGTTGAAAGTTCACTAATGTAAATTTAAGAATTATTAAATAATAGAATCCTAGATATCAGTACAAATATAGAAGGCAATGTTGGAGGAAAAATTGTGTTCCTAGCTACATCTTTTGCTTAGTTAACTCTCAAAGGTATTTTAACATCAGCTTTATCTGCTGTAGTACAAATAATGCAATGTCCATTGGTCATTCAGTGTTTTACATGCTGTAATGTGATATGAATCATAGAGTATTAAAGCAAAACAACTGAGACTTAATGTTTCTTCAATGGATGATACAAGTAAACAGATCCTATGCTTGGCTTGTGCTACCAAGTTTCTTGATGGTCTGAACCATTATTGACAAACAAAAAAGAAAATGTAACATCAATGAAACATCAAATGTATAACAAGTTGATACATCTTAGTGAAAAAAAAAACTAAGTTCGTTACCATTAAATGCTTTTATTATCTTTATATTATTTTAATTGTTTCACTAAAGTTTCAGAGTGTTTCTCACACTTTAGAATCATTTCAAAGATTTAACAGTACATAATCAACATAAATATTCAGAAAATAATAACACATTATTTAAAATATAAAACATATAGATAGTACATTTACATTATTCAACATAGTATAATTATGTTCCTTGAACCATCAAACATTGTTAAGTTATCAAAACCATACCTTTGGTTGCTCAATATAGTATGGTGGGCCAGAGGGTTATTATTTTTATTTAGCAATTTTTCACAATGTCTGACATTCTATTTTTATCTAGTATGCAGTATTTTAAATATTTCCCCAATATACATCATCTTACACTTACTATAATCTATTCTATAAATCAATTTTTTTTCACCTGTCTTTTTATTTTATTGTAATTAATTAATTATTTTTCCAATTTATTGTTATTTTATGTAGCAAATTTTATTTTTTTCTGGTCATATTACACAAATGTCTGTTTTTTTGTTCTAAATTAGTTGTGGAATACAATCAATTTTGTAAAATCTTTTTTTTTTTAGATTTATTTTAATTTCGACGATCTTTGTTATTGTTTATCTTTTTGTCTCTATAGCATTAGTCTTTAATGATTTTCTGTTTTATTTTTCCAATTTCTTTATGTTTTTCATTATATCTATCAAAATTATTTATATTATCATTATGGTTATTACTTCATCATATTCAATTCATTATTTTTTTATGATGAAAATTCTCTTCCGACATTTAATAAATTATTGTTTATAACTATGTTATATAATTTATCAGATAGTTACTTAGTTCTTTTAATTAAATTCTTAGCCATGTTAATCTTTTGTAACAAGATGGATTTAAACAATAATTCAACATTATGATACTATTTATTTCTTTTTGGTCCATCTTGTTCCTGTCTTACTATAACTTGAGAAGAAAACAATTACCATGAGATATTTCAACAATAATTCAACATTATAATACTATTTATATCTTATTGGTCCACCTTGTTGTTATCTTCCTATGATTTGGCATAATATTGATGTATGAAAATATGATATTGATATTTTCTGATTTTTCAATTGTAAATTTTAATCAATAGTGGCGACTGTTTAATTTTTTTTATTATTTTTTCATACGTCTCTATACTCATCAATAATATATGTGATATAAGTAACTTATGTGTGTAAGTAATATTTATTTAACTGAAAGGGACCCTCCCATGGGTAATCCTTGAACAGGTTTAAAAAAAATTGTTTAACTTCTCCATGAATAAGTTTTTGTCTTTTATTTTGGAATTTTATTTTATTTTTTTTTATTATCCCCCAATATTTCAATTCATCATTTTGAATGTATGATTGGAAACAGCAATTCCACATATTTGAACAATAACAATCAGCAATTAGCTATCAACTCAAATCATTGAGGGAAGACAGTGATTATATATTTAAAAAATCCTTAGAATTAATAAAGATCTTAGGAGCAATTAATATAATAGAAAACTGTTTATATAAATTTCCAATCACAGAAAAAATCTTTTTTATTTCAAATTAACACCTCAATCTTTCAATGGCATTTACAATTAAATAATAAAATTAATAATTTCAAGGAAATAACTTAAACCCTTTCAGCTTCTCTCAGTGCTTCGCTTCATTTTATTTATTACATCAAAATTTCAGGCCAACTATGCTCATTTTCAAGTCAAACTTTTTATCTAAAATATTACATTACATTAAATAAATTAAATATCTACGAAAAAAATGTAACAGCACTTACATCAACAATCTATAAAATTTCCAAAAAATCAACTTAATGAATAAACTTTCTACATACATCCTTATCTTATCCTCACTTTCTTCCAATAAATATTTCATAATTATTTATGAAAAGTCCATTCCACAATTTAAAAATGCTGCAAATTTAACATTACACCTTAAATAAGAAAAGGCCAAACCACTAATTTTTCCACACTTTAAATTACTATTTTATAAATCACCTTTTGGACATGTCTCACTAGTTAAAAATTATTTTTATTAAAAATTTCATTCCAATACTATACATTTTCATCCTATCTTTTTTATATCCTTAAGTCCACTGTGAGCTGTGGGCTTGGATATTATTGTGTTTTTTGGGATTAAGTTTACTGAATTATTTTAATGCTTTAAGTTTCATATTATTGCTAATATTTTTGCTGAATGATTATTTTAATTACTTAAATTAAAGTTATTTCCTTGAAATTATTAATTTTACTATTCAAATTAACTTTTTACTACAATACTACATCCATAACAATAACACAAATCAATTCCCTCCAAATGACAGAAAATGAGATCAGCCATTGGCCCCATTACCACTACAACAACACTCCTCCTCAATGGCTGATCTTAAGCCAAAGATAACTCTCCTCTGAGTGCATTTCCCACTTGACTAATCTGCACCAAGTTTAACCTTACTTCCTCCTTTCTTCACTTTCCCACTGATCACAAAAGCTTATAAAAGCACATGTCCCAAGTTTATTTTTTTTGCTTGTTATTTCTTCTTTGAAATTTTCAATTTATGTTTTCGTTTTTATTTCTTTTTTTATGGAGGAACTTCCATTTTTTCTTCCAACACTAATTCTTCTTTATTTTCTTTTGTTTCTAGAATTCATATTAATCTGTGGATTTATTGGTTGTAATAATCCATTCACCTTTTCAAGACGGATTTTTATTATTTTAATTGTACTATCATCAATCCTCGTTTCTAATTTCTTGAACGAAAAAGTATTAATTTGTTTTGACTGTTGCTAATAGAAAACATTTAAAACAGTGCCAATACTTTTTTGACTCTCAAAATTTACTTTTTATGTTTAATTTGAACATAGCTTTTGAATTCCCAACATTCATTGCTTCAAAAATATAATTCTCAAAGGCCACTTTGCTATATAAATATTATTTAATATCTTAATCCTATTGAGGGTGATAAATATTATAATTTTAATTTTTTATTTGTGCCAACGTTTCAACCCTAAGTGGTCAATACTTGAACACCCTCAGTGCTCAAACTACGCCCTGAAGATGACCCACATGTTTAGGTTGAAAAGTTGGCACAAATAAAAAATTAAAAATTTTTTTGAAAAAAGACTGCGTCCTAAATATTTATCATCCATGATATGTAGAACAGCCGATTAGCTTCCTTCAATTAATCCTATTGAGGTTTACAGAAAAATTAAAGTGTGCCAATACTTTTTTGATCCACTGTATGAGCCAATGAAACTGATTCATTTGGAATTTTCTTTACCTTATAACTTAAAAGAGCATCAAATTCCTGTAAAGAAAAATAATTAAAGAGGACGTGCCAGCTGAGGAATAATCATCTTCATAAAGAAAATATTACAGCTCATATTATGTATTATTCACTGCAGAGAATGGTGAATCTTCTTGTGTTAAAAACATAATATGCTCACCTTTATAATATATATTATACACTTAAAATAAGGTAGAAAATGAATACATTTTTTATTTCATTAAAAATGGTTTTCAAAATATCTTTTTATTTTTTTTTATTTTATAATTTTATTGAAATTTACAACTGTATTACATTAAAAATACAACAGGTAAATGTGGCATTGGTAAGATGACATGTAAAATATGAAGAGAAACTACCCATTGGTAGAACTCAAATTAAAGTTCTATATTAGATGATCCCGAGGCCATCTTCTTTTCAGACGCCTCGGAGGGTTATCAGGGATAGAGGAGCAAGCAATGTTTGAAACAAGAGGGTTCGGATGGTTCTGCAGTTCAAAAAATTAAGTATAAAAAAAAAAGAAGTAAATTATTTTTATCAAGACATTTTAATACAAGGATTGGGAATCTAAATGATGAAATATTTGAAGATTCTAATCTTTTAGAGGTTTTAATATCTAGAAATCAGGTAATAAATAACCACTGATATAATACGGTTGATAGTCTTGAGCAGTTTGGTTTATTTCTCTTAAATGACTGTACTTATTGCGATATACCCACTAATGTTACTCACGTTTGTGAGCAGTGATGTATATTAGTATAATATACTTAGTGAAGGCAATTTATGATTGTGTTAGTTTAATTAATGATTTAGAAATTGTTTGTAAATCTAGTTTGTTGGATCATTTTGCTTGTAAACTTAAACTCAAATTCAATATGTCTCATAGTGTATTTAATGAATTACACAACCCTAAACCAGAAACGTTTAGTATTTTCAGAGACCCCAATAAACTTAGTAAATTTTCAGAAAGTATGAAATAGGTTCTATTTTAATGGTCATGATATGAAGAGTTGTATTTGTATTTTCAAAATGCAATAGTAAATTGTATGAAAGAATGTGATATGGTTTGTAAATATGGTAGTAATTATGCATTTAATAATAAATCTTTGTTTAATAAAGAATGTTATCTTGTAAGGAAGAAATCTTCAAATTCTTTAAAAATATTTCATACACTTAATTTTTCAGTTGAAACAGTAAATGCTATCTGGACCAAACTATATTAAATTAAATTAATAAAAAAGGAGACTATTCTAATCCTCTAAATCATAGGGACATTATAATATTTAATATAAATTCAAACCTTGTAATAATATTATTTATAACAGTTTGATAAACCGGATAGAAAGCCATAACTGGATTCCAGAGGAGCAACTTTGATTTTAGGCTTGCAGAAGGTGCAAAATTAGCGTGTTTCAATGCGATTAATTTTATCAAGACGTTTATGCATAGGAGACTAATTAATATTTTATTAATTAATTGATGTTATAAATATTATGTTATTAATTTTATGCTTCCATAAGAGTTTTAAAATTATATAATAGTACCAAGTTACTTTGAAATTCTTGAATATGTGTTTAACATTCATCAATCATTTAGTTTGTACTGTATTTCTAGCATTTATTTTTTAAAAAGAATATTTTTTTTTTTCCTACACCTAAGTAACGCCTGCTTCATTAGCCATGCGTGCTCTTGCAGTCCAATACAGTTTTGCTCTCCGAGCATAAGGGCTGTCCATTTCATTAAAGGAACATCTTATGTCCTGTGATGCAGGGCATGTATCAAGATGTTCTCCTGTCATCTCCTGTATAAAAGAATATTATACATACTATATTAATTTTTATATTTCAGTGAAACAATAATAGAAATTCCTGAAGAACATGAGTTAACTTCAGAAAAGGTAGAAGGAACTTTTGCTAAAAAGTAAGCTATTAATCATATAATATTTTCAAAATAAAAAATTCTTTCCACCATATATATGTATCTATAAAGGGTGTCCTGTATCTAGAGGAATATATTTAAAGGAGTGATATCAGACCTCGAACACTAAAAAAAAGTTAATATAAACAATGGTTTGATTTTCTGCAGAAAATTAGAAAATTTAAGATTTGTGTTTTTTCCCGTTTTTAAATGTCTTGTATTTTAAAGATTAGGAAGAAATAACTAAAACATATTTAATAAATACAATTAATAATCACTTCAAGGTAAAATATATACAATTTTCTTCAAATATAAATCGAGTTTGTCTCTATTAAGATCATTTAAAGGGTACTCTTAAGTAGCAAGACTACTTTTGACTCTGTTTTTTATAAAATCATTGATTATTCACAATTTTTTTATCATACTCCAACCTGACTACAGTTATCCCACTTTCAGAAAAACTTACATTATCATTAAATGGGCTTATATAAGGTTAAATAAGGTCATATTAATTTAAGTTGATTTTTGTAACAGAATAAGTTGAATCACTTCTAGCTTTGTAAACAAAATTATGTAATTTGATATTCTGTTACCCCAAAGTACCTGTATTTTTTGAATAACTACTATAATTTATTTCATTTTTTTTTATGGTCTGGGATGTATTGCAGTAAATCACTAACGGATCCAGGATTTAATTTTTGGGGAGGGGGCTTCAGCCTGAAAGCTTTTTTTCATAAAAATAACGTTAATTACTTTGGAAAAAAAGAAATAAACTAACTGCCTACATGAAATGGAGTGATTCCTAAAGTCCTCTTAAATGTGATTACATGAACAATAATACTTTAAGAGATAATTTTTTTATATTTTTTTCCATAAAACATGGTTACATTTTACCATTTGGGGAGGGGGGGCTTCAGCCCGAAAGCCCCCCCACCCCCCGTAATAATAATGCAGTAAATTAATCAGAACAATACACTTTAAAAAAAAATAATGCTTTGGCAAACATTTATTATCTTAACTCCTAATTCATAATTGTTTATACAACAATATTTTTCATGTGAATTGATCTTTGTTGTATTAATTACTTATTTTTGTATTAATTACTTGTTGTATTAATTAAGTGACCAACTAAATGTTCCTAATCCTAACATTTATGTTTTCATGAAAAAATTCAAACAACAGTATGATTTTATTTTTTTGCAGAGATGTTAATTAATAAAAAAAAGTTATTAATTTTAATTGGTATTAATGTTCTTTATGTTTTCTGGCAGGCACATTTGAATTTTCCTCATTATTTCTATTTAAGGAAATATTCAGAAAAATATAAAATTTCCCATCCCATATAAATGTTGCTTCTTCAGAAAAAAAACTCAATCCTAGGGAAATAAGGTTTTCTCCCTTGAAATACTTAATTATTCAATAAAGCATCTAAATGTAGCTTTCATTATTAACTGGACGTCAATAGGAATTTAAGATAATAGCTGATTATTGTTAATTAATGTTTCAACAACTTTTTTTTCCGAAAATTCTTTATTGAGATATATTACAATCTGTCACGTCTAAGGACATTAGTTGTAGAGATAAAAGAGTAGCTCATTAACACTATGTACAATAAATAAAAATGTATAACAGCAAATAATAATACTAAAAGTAAATAAACTAAACTAATCAAAATAATAACTACTTAAATACACACATGGTTTTATAAAATATTAACAAAATTCATTAACTCAAGATCTCTGAGCCAAGCCTTCCCTCTACTCATGGAAGGAAAAGCAGGACTCTAGGGCGTCTCTCACTCAGCCGCATTACTGGCATTAAGGACCAGTAGAGGCTGAGCAGAGGCCCTATAACCAGACAAACATGGCTCGAGTGGAGAATCTGGCCATTGCCAGAACTCCAATATATAGGTATTCTTACAACAGATCTATGGGCCACTACCGCTTCAACCTTTGAGAAGGATTGTAGGGATGGGTAGGGCTAGAGAGGGATTGTGCAAGTGGATTTGGATGACATGTAAGGTTTTGATGGAATTTGGAAAAATTTTCAGGGATAAGGTCTAGAACAAATGGGATATTAAGTTCATGGTGTAGGGTTTTGTTGGTTACACAGAAGGGAGCATCAACTATTGTTTGAATGACTTTGAACATGAAGGGTCAGATGCATTTGATTTTAGAAAATTTTGCTGTCCATAGTTCTACTCCACAAGTCAAAATAGGTTTTATGATTGTCTTGTAGATCAGTAATTTGTTGTAAAGATACTCTAAACTCTTCTCATTATTTTCATTTTTTGTACTATATCATATATATAAAGTTAAATTAAGTAGTTAAATTAATCATATGACAACTTAATTACAGCCATACTTATAATATTTTCCATCTGTGAAGGGAAATGCATGATTCAAGGAGATCCCAGTGCTTTTCTCTCAGCCATGTCACTGGTATTAATAGCCAGTGTAAGCTGAGCAAGAGCATTATAACCACAAAAGTACATAGCTTGAGTGGAGTCTGGCCATTGCCAGAACTCCAGTATTTACACATTTACAAAAGGTCTCAGGGCCACTGTTTTTCCAAACTTTGAGGAGGATGGCTGGAGCTGGATAGAGAATATTGATGGTGAGTAAGATTCTGGTGTAATTTGGAGAATTTTTCTGGGATAAGGTCTAAAACAAATGGTATATTAAGAGCATTATGTAGGGTTTTGTTGATTACATAGAATGAAGCATCAATTATTGTTTGAATGACTTTAAACATGAAGGGTCAGATGCATTTGATGTTAGAAAATTTTGCTGTCCATAGTTCTACTCCACAAGTCAAAATAGGTTTTATGATTGTCTTGTAGATCAGTAATTTGTTGTAAAGAGAAAGTTAAGATTTTCTATTCAGTAGACTATATAGCTGGTCATTTCAGCTAAGTTCTTGTCTTTTAATATAGATACTGGACTGTGTCTGAGTAAGGAAGTTAGATGAAGTAAAAATCGGGACTGGATTAGATGGATTATAAGCTTGAAAAGCAATCTGGGGTGCCATACCCTGTTAAAAGGTTGTTCTATTTCCAGAAATACAACTAAGCAATATTGTTTGTTTTCTAGGGCTGAATAAATATGATCTAAAGCTAAGAACTCTTGTTAGACAATGGAACATTCAGAAAAATATCCAATCTGATGGGAAGGAAGATTTTAGAATTCTATCTTCCTCAGATGCTGCCCAGGAGTCATCATCTCGCTTGACGGGATGGGAAATTCGGCGATATTTTAGATTTTGTTTTGTGGAATTCCAAAAGGAATAGTTACAATCAGAGAGAGGATTGGTATGAATCAAAGGATTTGGATCTATAAATGACTGTTCTCTATGCTCCCCTCCTTAATCCCTCCTATCAATGGATGTACAGTCAAACTTAACCCTCTAATTATGAAACATCAGATACTAATAAAAGTCATATGTAATAATTAATTGTTTTTAATTTCCAAAATTATCTAAATATTTCCCTCAAATAATGATGGTGTATTCTTAGGACAGAGATTTTTTTCATTTATGTTAGAGAGGTGATTATTACCTTATAATTTAAATTGTATTTGCTGAGCTACTTCGAATGGTATCAGCTAAAATAAGTAGCTTTGTATACCCAAGAACATATTTACATAGCTAAATGGAATTATGATAATAATTTTTATCTGAATGTATGTTGAAATTTATGTGATATTATATTTTATTTATGTTACAAAATCTCACAATCACACTACTAAAAACTTGTTATTGAAATTACAAAATGAACTGCTGGTTTGTATTTATTAAAATATTGTACAACAGCTTATTTATGAAAATTGCAGATATTATATTTTTTAATTTTATATACTTATAACATATAAATATTTTTTTATGTTCTCTTTTAGTGAAGGAGAGCCTTCGGCCAGTAGTTCAAGGAACCCACGTAAAGGGATGTTCAATAGAAAGTAAGTACCACTATCTATTTAATATTAAACTGAATGTAAAACTTTTACTTGATATATTTAAATTGATTAAATGATAGTAGTGTTGTAAATTTTACTATTTAATATACTAAATGGGTCATTTCAAAATTCCAGTCATATTTGGTCATCAATTTTTTTTTTTTTAAAGAGAGAGAAATAGCATGTTTTTTTACTTCTTAGTAATCTATACAGGGTGTACTGGAAGTAAAGGAAAATGTTTATAGGAGTGATAGCAGACCTCAAGAGCTACAAAAAAGGTCATATAAACAATGGGCCAATTTTCTACAGAAATGTAGGAAATCCAAGTTTTGTGTTTTCCTGTTTTTTTGTTTTGTTGAAGAGGAAGTGATAACTAAGGAAATGTTTAATTAAAAATTTCTTCAATGTAAACTAGATACAATTTACTTCAAATCGAATAGAGTTTGTCATGGTTAAAACCATTTAAAGGAGACTTTTGAGAGGCTAAACTACGCTAAATTCTGTTTATAAAAAAAAATCATAAATTATTCCTGATTTTTTTTTATGGTCGTCTAATTTCGGTGGATGACTAGGAGCATGTTATGCGGACAATTGCCCAACACATGAGCTGGGGTTTCTTATTCTTGGCCACATTTGTGGCAGAAAATAAATGAAATTAAAATAGATAAAACACATTCACACCTATATATACAATATTTACATTCACCCAGGGGACTGTGAGTCATACTTTGTCCTCAACATGTGGAAGCCAGTGGAGACTGATGGAGAGGGCACTAGAGCAATAGACGCTCAAGACTTAAGTGGAGAATCTGGCCATTGCCAGTACTTCAATATATACATATTTACAAAAGGTTGCAGGGACGCTAACATTTTAACCTCTGGGGAGGAATGTAGAGAAGAGAGGCAAAACTCTAGGAAACGAGGCGGCTTAGTAGGGACCGAGAGGCATGGCTGCATTGGATAGAGGCTCCTAAACGCTAGTAATTTCACGAAGAAGAACACAAAAAAGAAGGAGAATTGTAGGGATGGCTGGAGTTAGATAAGGATTGTGTTACAGGATTTGAATGATAATTGCGGTTCAGGTTCGACACCCTCTTCCAGCCTGACTTTTTTTACAGCTCCTCAGAAAATGCTTCTCATCTTGCCCCTCTCTGCTGTCCGAAAATGTTTTTCATAGAAATCCTTTTTACTGGCTGATTATTTTTAGGGCAGGGCTGCCTCTCTACTTTTCCATAAAATTTCTAATTTTTTTCTGATTTTTATGATTCCTAAGTTTTATTGTGCTTACCTCACTATGAAGATTATAGATCTTTTGTGGGGGCAGCAGTGCTGACCATCTGTGGATCAGGTATTTACCTTCAAGATTCTGAGTCTTTATTGTTGACAATATTTATTTTTCTTTGCACTGGAATAACTAAACATACTTTAATTTATGAAATATATTTAATTTCAATATTATCATTCTCGACATTTGTATTTTATCAATATTCTACTATTTTAATTATAATTATAACTCTTAAACATTATTCTCTTTGTAGTTATGGAAAAACTCCAGCTGCAAAGCTATATGAAGCAGTGACTGTTAAACAGCAGTAGTAAGTACCAATTTATATACTTCTAAACTCTACTTAACTAATTTCTTAGGGGGTATATTATTTTTGTGGCATTGGAATGATTGTTGGATTACAAATACTTTATTTGTAGAATACACTATAAACAATTTGTTGAAAGTTCACTAATGTAAATTTAAGAATTATTAAATAATAGAATCCTAGATATCAGTACAAATATAGAAGGCAATGTTGGAGGAAAAATTGTGTTCCTAGCTACATCTTTTGCTTAGTTAACTCTCAAAGGTATTTTAACATCAGCTTTATCTGCTGTAGTACAAATAATGCAATGTCCATTGGTCATTCAGTGTTTTACATGCTGTAATGTGATATGAATCATAGAGTATTAAAGCAAAACAACTGAGACTTAATGTTTCTTCAATGGATGATACAAGTAAACAGATCCTATGCTTGGCTTGTGCTACCAAGTTTCTTGATGGTCTGAACCATTATTGACAAACAAAAAAGAAAATGTAACATCAATGAAACATCAAATGTATAACAAGTTGATACATCTTAGTGAAAAAAAAAACTAAGTTCGTTACCATTAAATGCTTTTATTATCTTTATATTATTTTAATTGTTTCACTAAAGTTTCAGAGTGTTTCTCACACTTTAGAATCATTTCAAAGATTTAACAGTACATAATCAACATAAATATTCAGAAAATAATAACACATTATTTAAAATATAAAACATATAGATAGTACATTTACATTATTCAACATAGTATAATTATGTTCCTTGAACCATCAAACATTGTTAAGTTATCAAAACCATACCTTTGGTTGCTCAATATAGTATGGTGGGCCAGAGGGTTATTATTTTTATTTAGCAATTTTTCACAATGTCTGACATTCTATTTTTATCTAGTATGCAGTATTTTAAATATTTCCCCAATATACATCATCTTACACTTACTATAATCTATTCTATAAATCAATTTTTTTTCACCTGTCTTTTTATTTTATTGTAATTAATTAATTATTTTTCCAATTTATTGTTATTTTATGTAGCAAATTTTATTTTTTTCTGGTCATATTACACAAATGTCTGTTTTTTTGTTCTAAATTAGTTGTGGAATACAATCAATTTTGTAAAATCTTTTTTTTTTTAGATTTATTTTAATTTCGACGATCTTTGTTATTGTTTATCTTTTTGTCTCTATAGCATTAGTCTTTAATGATTTTCTGTTTTATTTTTCCAATTTCTTTATGTTTTTCATTATATCTATCAAAATTATTTATATTATCATTATGGTTATTACTTCATCATATTCAATTCATTATTTTTTTATGATGAAAATTCTCTTCCGACATTTAATAAATTATTGTTTATAACTATGTTATATAATTTATCAGATAGTTACTTAGTTCTTTTAATTAAATTCTTAGCCATGTTAATCTTTTGTAACAAGATGGATTTAAACAATAATTCAACATTATGATACTATTTATTTCTTTTTGGTCCATCTTGTTCCTGTCTTACTATAACTTGAGAAGAAAACAATTACCATGAGATATTTCAACAATAATTCAACATTATAATACTATTTATATCTTATTGGTCCACCTTGTTGTTATCTTCCTATGATTTGGCATAATATTGATGTATGAAAATATGATATTGATATTTTCTGATTTTTCAATTGTAAATTTTAATCAATAGTGGCGACTGTTTAATTTTTTTTATTATTTTTTCATACGTCTCTATACTCATCAATAATATATGTGATATAAGTAACTTATGTGTGTAAGTAATATTTATTTAACTGAAAGGGACCCTCCCATGGGTAATCCTTGAACAGGTTTAAAAAAAATTGTTTAACTTCTCCATGAATAAGTTTTTGTCTTTTATTTTGGAATTTTATTTTATTTTTTTTTATTATCCCCCAATATTTCAATTCATCATTTTGAATGTATGATTGGAAACAGCAATTCCACATATTTGAACAATAACAATCAGCAATTAGCTATCAACTCAAATCATTGAGGGAAGACAGTGATTATATATTTAAAAAATCCTTAGAATTAATAAAGATCTTAGGAGCAATTAATATAATAGAAAACTGTTTATATAAATTTCCAATCACAGAAAAAATCTTTTTTATTTCAAATTAACACCTCAATCTTTCAATGGCATTTACAATTAAATAATAAAATTAATAATTTCAAGGAAATAACTTAAACCCTTTCAGCTTCTCTCAGTGCTTCGCTTCATTTTATTTATTACATCAAAATTTCAGGCCAACTATGCTCATTTTCAAGTCAAACTTTTTATCTAAAATATTACATTACATTAAATAAATTAAATATCTACGAAAAAAATGTAACAGCACTTACATCAACAATCTATAAAATTTCCAAAAAATCAACTTAATGAATAAACTTTCTACATACATCCTTATCTTATCCTCACTTTCTTCCAATAAATATTTCATAATTATTTATGAAAAGTCCATTCCACAATTTAAAAATGCTGCAAATTTAACATTACACCTTAAATAAGAAAAGGCCAAACCACTAATTTTTCCACACTTTAAATTACTATTTTATAAATCACCTTTTGGACATGTCTCACTAGTTAAAAATTATTTTTATTAAAAATTTCATTCCAATACTATACATTTTCATCCTATCTTTTTTATATCCTTAAGTCCACTGTGAGCTGTGGGCTTGGATATTATTGTGTTTTTTGGGATTAAGTTTACTGAATTATTTTAATGCTTTAAGTTTCATATTATTGCTAATATTTTTGCTGAATGATTATTTTAATTACTTAAATTAAAGTTATTTCCTTGAAATTATTAATTTTACTATTCAAATTAACTTTTTACTACAATACTACATCCATAACAATAACACAAATCAATTCCCTCCAAATGACAGAAAATGAGATCAGCCATTGGCCCCATTACCACTACAACAACACTCCTCCTCAATGGCTGATCTTAAGCCAAAGATAACTCTCCTCTGAGTGCATTTCCCACTTGACTAATCTGCACCAAGTTTAACCTTACTTCCTCCTTTCTTCACTTTCCCACTGATCACAAAAGCTTATAAAAGCACATGTCCCAAGTTTATTTTTTTTGCTTGTTATTTCTTCTTTGAAATTTTCAATTTATGTTTTCGTTTTTATTTCTTTTTTTATGGAGGAACTTCCATTTTTTCTTCCAACACTAATTCTTCTTTATTTTCTTTTGTTTCTAGAATTCATATTAATCTGTGGATTTATTGGTTGTAATAATCCATTCACCTTTTCAAGACGGATTTTTATTATTTTAATTGTACTATCATCAATCCTCGTTTCTAATTTCTTGAACGAAAAAGTATTAATTTGTTTTGACTGTTGCTAATAGAAAACATTTAAAACAGTGCCAATACTTTTTTGACTCTCAAAATTTACTTTTTATGTTTAATTTGAACATAGCTTTTGAATTCCCAACATTCATTGCTTCAAAAATATAATTCTCAAAGGCCACTTTGCTATATAAATATTATTTAATATCTTAATCCTATTGAGGGTGATAAATATTATAATTTTAATTTTTTATTTGTGCCAACGTTTCAACCCTAAGTGGTCAATACTTGAACACCCTCAGTGCTCAAACTACGCCCTGAAGATGACCCACATGTTTAGGTTGAAAAGTTGGCACAAATAAAAAATTAAAAATTTTTTTGAAAAAAGACTGCGTCCTAAATATTTATCATCCATGATATGTAGAACAGCCGATTAGCTTCCTTCAATTAATCCTATTGAGGTTTACAGAAAAATTAAAGTGTGCCAATACTTTTTTGATCCACTGTATGAGCCAATGAAACTGATTCATTTGGAATTTTCTTTACCTTATAACTTAAAAGAGCATCAAATTCCTGTAAAGAAAAATAATTAAAGAGGACGTGCCAGCTGAGGAATAATCATCTTCATAAAGAAAATATTACAGCTCATATTATGTATTATTCACTGCAGAGAATGGTGAATCTTCTTGTGTTAAAAACATAATATGCTCACCTTTATAATATATATTATACACTTAAAATAAGGTAGAAAATGAATACATTTTTTATTTCATTAAAAATGGTTTTCAAAATATCTTTTTATTTTTTTTTATTTTATAATTTTATTGAAATTTACAACTGTATTACATTAAAAATACAACAGGTAAATGTGGCATTGGTAAGATGACATGTAAAATATGAAGAGAAACTACCCATTGGTAGAACTCAAATTAAAGTTCTATATTAGATGATCCCGAGGCCATCTTCTTTTCAGACGCCTCGGAGGGTTATCAGGGATAGAGGAGCAAGCAATGTTTGAAACAAGAGGGTTCGGATGGTTCTGCAGTTCAAAAAATTAAGTATAAAAAAAAAAGAAGTAAATTATTTTTATCAAGACATTTTAATACAAGGATTGGGAATCTAAATGATGAAATATTTGAAGATTCTAATCTTTTAGAGGTTTTAATATCTAGAAATCAGGTAATAAATAACCACTGATATAATACGGTTGATAGTCTTGAGCAGTTTGGTTTATTTCTCTTAAATGACTGTACTTATTGCGATATACCCACTAATGTTACTCACGTTTGTGAGCAGTGATGTATATTAGTATAATATACTTAGTGAAGGCAATTTATGATTGTGTTAGTTTAATTAATGATTTAGAAATTGTTTGTAAATCTAGTTTGTTGGATCATTTTGCTTGTAAACTTAAACTCAAATTCAATATGTCTCATAGTGTATTTAATGAATTACACAACCCTAAACCAGAAACGTTTAGTATTTTCAGAGACCCCAATAAACTTAGTAAATTTTCAGAAAGTATGAAATAGGTTCTATTTTAATGGTCATGATATGAAGAGTTGTATTTGTATTTTCAAAATGCAATAGTAAATTGTATGAAAGAATGTGATATGGTTTGTAAATATGGTAGTAATTATGCATTTAATAATAAATCTTTGTTTAATAAAGAATGTTATCTTGTAAGGAAGAAATCTTCAAATTCTTTAAAAATATTTCATACACTTAATTTTTCAGTTGAAACAGTAAATGCTATCTGGACCAAACTATATTAAATTAAATTAATAAAAAAGGAGACTATTCTAATCCTCTAAATCATAGGGACATTATAATATTTAATATAAATTCAAACCTTGTAATAATATTATTTATAACAGTTTGATAAACCGGATAGAAAGCCATAACTGGATTCCAGAGGAGCAACTTTGATTTTAGGCTTGCAGAAGGTGCAAAATTAGCGTGTTTCAATGCGATTAATTTTATCAAGACGTTTATGCATAGGAGACTAATTAATATTTTATTAATTAATTGATGTTATAAATATTATGTTATTAATTTTATGCTTCCATAAGAGTTTTAAAATTATATAATAGTACCAAGTTACTTTGAAATTCTTGAATATGTGTTTAACATTCATCAATCATTTAGTTTGTACTGTATTTCTAGCATTTATTTTTTAAAAAGAATATTTTTTTTTTTCCTACACCTAAGTAACGCCTGCTTCATTAGCCATGCGTGCTCTTGCAGTCCAATACAGTTTTGCTCTCCGAGCATAAGGGCTGTCCATTTCATTAAAGGAACATCTTATGTCCTGTGATGCAGGGCATGTATCAAGATGTTCTCCTGTCATCTCCTGTATAAAAGAATATTATACATACTATATTAATTTTTATATTTCAGTGAAACAATAATAGAAATTCCTGAAGAACATGAGTTAACTTCAGAAAAGGTAGAAGGAACTTTTGCTAAAAAGTAAGCTATTAATCATATAATATTTTCAAAATAAAAAATTCTTTCCACCATATATATGTATCTATAAAGGGTGTCCTGTATCTAGAGGAATATATTTAAAGGAGTGATATCAGACCTCGAACACTAAAAAAAAGTTAATATAAACAATGGTTTGATTTTCTGCAGAAAATTAGAAAATTTAAGATTTGTGTTTTTTCCCGTTTTTAAATGTCTTGTATTTTAAAGATTAGGAAGAAATAACTAAAACATATTTAATAAATACAATTAATAATCACTTCAAGGTAAAATATATACAATTTTCTTCAAATATAAATCGAGTTTGTCTCTATTAAGATCATTTAAAGGGTACTCTTAAGTAGCAAGACTACTTTTGACTCTGTTTTTTATAAAATCATTGATTATTCACAATTTTTTTATCATACTCCAACCTGACTACAGTTATCCCACTTTCAGAAAAACTTACATTATCATTAAATGGGCTTATATAAGGTTAAATAAGGTCATATTAATTTAAGTTGATTTTTGTAACAGAATAAGTTGAATCACTTCTAGCTTTGTAAACAAAATTATGTAATTTGATATTCTGTTACCCCAAAGTACCTGTATTTTTTGAATAACTACTATAATTTATTTCATTTTTTTTTATGGTCTGGGATGTATTGCAGTAAATCACTAACGGATCCAGGATTTAATTTTTGGGGAGGGGGCTTCAGCCTGAAAGCTTTTTTTCATAAAAATAACGTTAATTACTTTGGAAAAAAAGAAATAAACTAACTGCCTACATGAAATGGAGTGATTCCTAAAGTCCTCTTAAATGTGATTACATGAACAATAATACTTTAAGAGATAATTTTTTTATATTTTTTTCCATAAAACATGGTTACATTTTACCATTTGGGGAGGGGGGGCTTCAGCCCGAAAGCCCCCCCACCCCCCGTAATAATAATGCAGTAAATTAATCAGAACAATACACTTTAAAAAAAAATAATGCTTTGGCAAACATTTATTATCTTAACTCCTAATTCATAATTGTTTATACAACAATATTTTTCATGTGAATTGATCTTTGTTGTATTAATTACTTATTTTTGTATTAATTACTTGTTGTATTAATTAAGTGACCAACTAAATGTTCCTAATCCTAACATTTATGTTTTCATGAAAAAATTCAAACAACAGTATGATTTTATTTTTTTGCAGAGATGTTAATTAATAAAAAAAAGTTATTAATTTTAATTGGTATTAATGTTCTTTATGTTTTCTGGCAGGCACATTTGAATTTTCCTCATTATTTCTATTTAAGGAAATATTCAGAAAAATATAAAATTTCCCATCCCATATAAATGTTGCTTCTTCAGAAAAAAAACTCAATCCTAGGGAAATAAGGTTTTCTCCCTTGAAATACTTAATTATTCAATAAAGCATCTAAATGTAGCTTTCATTATTAACTGGACGTCAATAGGAATTTAAGATAATAGCTGATTATTGTTAATTAATGTTTCAACAACTTTTTTTTCCGAAAATTCTTTATTGAGATATATTACAATCTGTCACGTCTAAGGACATTAGTTGTAGAGATAAAAGAGTAGCTCATTAACACTATGTACAATAAATAAAAATGTATAACAGCAAATAATAATACTAAAAGTAAATAAACTAAACTAATCAAAATAATAACTACTTAAATACACACATGGTTTTATAAAATATTAACAAAATTCATTAACTCAAGATCTCTGAGCCAAGCCTTCCCTCTACTCATGGAAGGAAAAGCAGGACTCTAGGGCGTCTCTCACTCAGCCGCATTACTGGCATTAAGGACCAGTAGAGGCTGAGCAGAGGCCCTATAACCAGACAAACATGGCTCGAGTGGAGAATCTGGCCATTGCCAGAACTCCAATATATAGGTATTCTTACAACAGATCTATGGGCCACTACCGCTTCAACCTTTGAGAAGGATTGTAGGGATGGGTAGGGCTAGAGAGGGATTGTGCAAGTGGATTTGGATGACATGTAAGGTTTTGATGGAATTTGGAAAAATTTTCAGGGATAAGGTCTAGAACAAATGGGATATTAAGTTCATGGTGTAGGGTTTTGTTGGTTACACAGAAGGGAGCATCAACTATTGTTTGAATGACTTTGAACATGAAGGGTCAGATGTATTTGATGTTAGAAAATTTTGCTGTCCATAGTTCTACTCCACAAGTCAAAATAGGTTTTATGATTGTCTTGTAGATCAGTAATTTGTTGTAAAGATACTCTAAACTCTTCTCATTATTTTCATTTTTTGTACTATATCATATATATAAAGTTAAATTAAGTAGTTAAATTAATCATATGACAACTTAATTACAGCCATACTTATAATATTTTCCATCTGTGAAGGGAAATGCATGATTCAAGGAGATCCCAGTGCTTTTCTCTCAGCCATGTCACTGGTATTAATAGCCAGTGTAAGCTGAGCAAGAGCATTATAACCACAAAAGTACATAGCTTGAGTGGAGTCTGGCCATTGCCAGAACTCCAGTATTTACACATTTACAAAAGGTCTCAGGGCCACTGTTTTTCCAAACTTTGAGGAGGATGGCTGGAGCTGGATAGAGAATATTGATGGTGAGTAAGATTCTGGTGTAATTTGGAGAATTTTTCTGGGATAAGGTCTAAAACAAATGGTATATTAAGAGCATTATGTAGGGTTTTGTTGATTACATAGAATGAAGCATCAATTATTGTTTGAATGACTTTAAACATGAAGGGTCAGATGCATTTGATGTTAGAAAATTTTGCTGTCCATAGTTCTACTCCACAAGTCAAAATAGGTTTTATGATTGTCTTGTAGATCAGTAATTTGTTGTAAAGAGAAAGTTAAGATTTTCTATTCAGTAGACTATATAGCTGGTCATTTCAGCTAAGTTCTTGTCTTTTAATATAGATACTGGACTGTGTCTGAGTAAGGAAGTTAGATGAAGTAAAAATCGGGACTGGATTAGATGGATTATAAGCTTGAAAAGCAATCTGGGGTGCCATACCCTGTTAAAAGGTTGTTCTATTTCCAGAAATACAACTAAGCAATATTGTTTGTTTTCTAGGGCTGAATAAATATGATCTAAAGCTAAGAACTCTTGTTAGACAATGGAACATTCAGAAAAATATCCAATCTGATGGGAAGGAAGATTTTAGAATTCTATCTTCCTCAGATGCTGCCCAGGAGTCATCATCTCGCTTGACGGGATGGGAAATTCGGCGATATTTTAGATTTTGTTTTGTGGAATTCCAAAAGGAATAGTTACAATCAGAGAGAGGATTGGTATGAATCAAAGGATTTGGATCTATAAATGACTGTTCTCTATGCTCCCCTCCTTAATCCCTCCTATCAATGGATGTACAGTCAAACTTAACCCTCTAATTATGAAACATCAGATACTAATAAAAGTCATATGTAATAATTAATTGTTTTTAATTTCCAAAATTATCTAAATATTTCCCTCAAATAATGATGGTGTATTCTTAGGACAGAGATTTTTTTCATTTATGTTAGAGAGGTGATTATTACCTTATAATTTAAATTGTATTTGCTGAGCTACTTCGAATGGTATCAGCTAAAATAAGTAGCTTTGTATACCCAAGAACATATTTACATAGCTAAATGGAATTATGATAATAATTTTTATCTGAATGTATGTTGAAATTTATGTGATATTATATTTTATTTATGTTACAAAATCTCACAATCACACTACTAAAAACTTGTTATTGAAATTACAAAATGAACTGCTGGTTTGTATTTATTAAAATATTGTACAACAGCTTATTTATGAAAATTGCAGATATTATATTTTTTAATTTTATATACTTATAACATATAAATATTTTTTTATGTTCTCTTTTAGTGAAGGAGAGCCTTCGGCCAGTAGTTCAAGGAACCCACGTAAAGGGATGTTCAATAGAAAGTAAGTACTACTATCTATTTAATATTAAACTGAATGTAAAACTTTTACTTGATATATTTAAATTGATTAAATGATAGTAGTGTTGTAAATTTTACTATTTAATATACTAAATGGGTCATTTCAAAATTCCAGTCATATTTGGTCATCAATTTTTTTTTTTTTAAAGAGAGAGAAATAGCATGTTTTTTTACTTCTTAGTAATCTATACAGGGTGTACTGGAAGTAAAGGAAAATGTTTATAGGAGTGATAGCAGACCTCAAGAGCTACAAAAAAGGTCATATAAACAATGGGCCAATTTTCTACAGAAATGTAGGAAATCCAAGTTTTGTGTTTTCCTGTTTTTTTGTTTTGTTGAAGAGGAAGTGATAACTAAGGAAATGTTTAATTAAAAATTTCTTCAATGTAAACTAGATACAATTTACTTCAAATCGAATAGAGTTTGTCATGGTTAAAACCATTTAAAGGAGACTTTTGAGAGGCTAAACTACGCTAAATTCTGTTTATAAAAAAAAATCATAAATTATTCCTGATTTTTTTTTATGGTCGTCTAATTTCGGTGGATGACTAGGAGCATGTTATGCGGACAATTGCCCAACACATGAGCTGGGGTTTCTTATTCTTGGCCACATTTGTGGCAGAAAATAAATGAAATTAAAATAGATAAAACACATTCACACCTATATATACAATATTTACATTCACCCAGGGGACTGTGAGTCATACTTTGTCCTCAACATGTGGAAGCCAGTGGAGACTGATGGAGAGGGCACTAGAGCAATAGACGCTCAAGACTTGAGTGGAGAATCTGGCCATTGCCAGTACTTCAATATATACATATTTACAAAAGGTTGCAGGGACGCTAACATTTTAACCTCTGGGGAGGAATGTAGAGAAGAGAGGCAAAACCCTCCAGGAAACGAGGCGGCTTAGTAGGGACCGAGAGGCATGGCTGCATTGGATAGAGGCTCCTAAACGCTAGTAATTTCACGAAGAAGAACACAAAAAAGAAGGAGAATTGTAGGGATGGCTGGAGGTAGATAATTTTACTACAGACACTCCACTTTTAGGAAAACTTCCACGTTTAATAAGCTTTAAGTCCATATTAATTAAGTTGAGATTTCTTTGGCAAAAATTTGAGATTCACCTCAAGTTGTGTAAAGAAATGATGTGATTTTATATCTTGTCACCTAAAAGTACCCATGTTTTCATCAAAAATGACTACAATTAACTGGATTCTCTAGGAAGTGTGAGGGTTTAGCCTATCATGAGCACATACATTTACTCAGCTTTTGAGACAGAATTAATTTAAAATAATCTGAAACAAATCACTATCAATCATCACTCAGGGCATATGCGCATATTCCGGGGAGGAGGAAAGGAGAGGGCGAGATCACCTCCAATAAAAATATAGAAGAGGCGAGAATATTGTTTCGCCTCCCATAATATTTCGAGGCGCAAAAAAAATCAATATCAATAACAATTTATCTATATGAATGAATTAAGAACATCGGAAAACTAGATGGCTAAGCTAAGGTTAGAAGCATGCACACAAGTATTTTACTACACCCAATGTCCCTATTATTATTATTTTAATTTATACTAAATTTTATTATATTGCTTAGTTTATATTGTGTAAATAATTCAATATCATATTGCTCATTTTTTAAAATTATGTTGATTATGTTATTTATCACTCATAATCTTTACACATAATATAAACTCCCAAGACTTTTATTTTTTTGGGTGGTCCATCGCTCCCTCAACCAGCATTGACTTACTTTTATAGGAAAACCAATGCACAAGAAAGTGAGGTTGTAAAAAAAATATTCCAATGCTTTTAACAAAATAACTATTCTATATACTCAAGTGGAGAGCAATCGAGATTTTTAAAAGAGCAGCAGAATGGATCTTGAAGTGGTCTGTTGGCCCTGAGCTCAAAGCACAGCAATATTACCCATTCCACTTTTTTTTGCTAGATTTTTATAAAATTTACAGGGAGTGAATATGAACACCAGTGACACTCATAAAATGAGTCGGTAAAGTGACATACATTATTCAATATTTTTAAAATGTGAATATTGAGATTACTCATTATATCATTTCCTAATAGCCCTAGCTTTAGAGCCCCCCTCATGAAATATTTCACAATGTACAAATTACTGTGGAAGTACCTTTGGGCTGTGACAGCACTAGGGAGTGAGAGGTCAGTATTTCACATATTTTTTACTGGGTCAAGTACCTGTAATTTTTACCAAACAATGAATGGAAAGTATGCTTCTCAGATCATGACAAAATTATTGGACTGCTTTTACTTACAATTTGACAATATTATTGCTCAATGTGACAATGAAGTCCTCTTCTCTTCTATTACATCATTCACAGGTTTGACAACGAGATTCGACCTGATAGCAGTGTTGCAGATTCAATTTCTTCTTGTTTTTTTCTTCAATCTTTCAGAGAAATCTCATTTCTGACACTTGTATTTCTGATTGGTATTCCTTGGTCAAGGTCCATGATTGTGAAGAATACATCAAAATGGAGAGAAATGTTGACATAAAAAAACCTAATTTTGTCTTCATCTAAACCTCTTGTCCATTTCATAATCCTGCCTTAATGCCTTTAAGCATTCTACTCACAGCTGTGATTTGCTTGGACACCTCCATATCTATGTAGTATTTTTTTTTAAAGTATGATCTGAGGTAATTAGATTTCTACTTATTCACAGTTTTGTTTTTAGCCCTAACAACATGCATAATTCTCCTTCCCAAATCTCATCACTTTTGTCTTAGTTGGTCTTTTTTTAACCTGCTTATGTTATGCTGAATATTTTTCCCAATCTCTAACAAAACAAGAATGTAATCAGAAATAGCAGCTACATTGTTGTAGTACATTGTTGCAGTACATCGTTGCAGTACATTGCTGCTGCAAGAGTAATGAGAAGCTCTGTTTCTCCAAGGTTGAATGCCAGAATACCTAACCAGAAAAAAAAATAGTGGACTTTGACCACAGCCCTTTCATATATATAAGGTGGTTTTGATTTTGCTATAAGTGAAGTTGCAGTACATGACCTTGATTTATTCCTTTTTTTCTTAAAGTCTCTAATATAATCTGTCTCTTTTCTTAGTTCAAAGGATTTTGTAAGGCCAAAAAAGCAAACTGAAATTTCCTTATCTTTTTCTAGTATTTTTTCAAACACCTGTCTTGTAGAAAAATATGTTTCTGGGTGTTCCAGTTTTAAAGAAAACCATATTTTTCTTTTCGAGGAATCCTTTGATTCCTTTTCATATTCTCTTTTCTAGCATCTTAAAATGTACTTACTTACAATCCTTAAGAGAGGCATACTTTGGTAGAATTACTGTCTTTGTTATCGTCTTTTGTAAACATTGGGATAATAACAGCTACTTTTCAATCTTTCTGGATTGTCTTTTGCTTTCAATCTAGCTTCAAAAAGTGCTGCATAATCTCTTTTCCTTTGAGCCTTCTATATTTTGGCATTTCAGAGATAATTTCATTGCTACCCCTTCTAGGGTGGATGGTTTAGATAACCGTTTATCTGTAAATGAGCATTCGGTAGAAGATTTGATAGACACTCTCTCAAATATCATCAAGAGGTCTGCTAATTATAATCCTTACCCAAGGTCAGTACATTGTTGTAGTACATTGTTGCAGTACATTGCTGCTGCAAGAGTAATGAGAAGCTCTGTCTCTCCAAGGTTGAATGACAGAATACCTAACCAGAAAAAAAAATAGTGGACTTTAACCACAGCCCTTTCATATAAGGTGGTTTTGATTTTGCTATAAGTGAAGTTGCAGTACATGACCTTGATTTATTCCTTTTTTTCTTTAAAGAAAATCATATTTTTCTTTTCGAGGAATCCTTTGATTCCTTTTCGTATTCTCTTTTCTAGCATCTTAAAATGTACTTACTTACAACCCTTAAGGGAGGCATACTTTGGTAGAATTATTGTCTTTGTTATCGTCTTTTGTAAACATTGGGATAGTAACAGCTACTTTATATTTTGGCACTTCAGTGATTATTTCATTGCTACCCCTTCTAGGGTGGATGGTTTAGTTAACCGTTTATCTGTAAATGAGCGTTCGGTAGAAGATTTGATAGACACTCTCTCAAATATCATCAAGAGGTCTGCTAATTATAATCCTTACCCAAGGTCAGTATATAAAAGTAAAAATCCATGGTTTGATAAGGAGTGTCCCCAGTCTAGAAAGATGTCATTTATAAGTTTAAAGTTATTTAGAAAAACTTCGTCCCCTCACAATAGATTAAAATATTTAAATTGAAATAGTACTTATAAAAGTTTATGTTTATTAAAAAAGAAGCAATATTATACAGATTGTGCCCAGCGTCTGAATAACGTTAATAACAGTAAAGAGTTTTGGGAACTTGTAAAAGTATTTAGAAAAAGTAATTACTGGTCTGTAGGTAATATATCATTACAAGATTGGCTTATGCACTTTAAAACTCTGTACAACACTCCGTTAATTACAAACAGAATTTTATACGTTGAACCTAATATTACTAATGCTATTTTAGATAGAACCATCTCTCTTGGTGAGTTGAAAGCGGTTTTGGGTAACTCCAAAAATAACAAGGCACCAGGAAGTGATAGAATCTCTTATGCATTTTACAAGTATGCTCTCAATTCTTTTTTAAATATTTTATTGGATACATTTAATAGAACTTTTGAAATGGGGTATGTCCCTTTAGCATTTAAAAATCAATTATTTTTCCATTATATAAAAAAGGGGATAAAAATTTGGCTTCTAATTACAGGGGAATCTCCTTCATTAATTCAATCGCCAAGTTATATACAGGCTTGATTTTGGCTAGATGTCTGGATTAGATTGATGAAAACAATATAATTAAAGCAGCTCAGGCTGGTTTTAGAAAAAAATATTCAACAATCGATAAGATATTCACATTAACGAGTCTAATTAAAATAAAATTACAAAATAAAAGGGAAAAAGTTTATACATTTTTTGGAGATTTTTCTACAGAATTTGATAGTGTGGATCTTTATAGTCTAATTTATTTATTAGACTTTATTAAATGATATCATCTAGGATTTTCATCTAAATTAATTAATTCAATTAAAAGATTGCATAGCGATACTAATGCTGCAGTTTGGGGTTTGGATGGTTTGACAAAACCATTTAGTATGGAATTGGATGTAAGACAAGGTTGTTTGCTTAGTTCGATTCTATTTTCGTTATTAAATAAATGATTTGGAAGAGAATTTAGATGGTGGTATTTGTGTTAAGGAATATTTTAAAATTAAGTATCTGGCTTTTGCAGATGATAATGTTTTCTTTTCTTCATACCCAATCACATTGCAGAGTAATATAAATTCCCTAGACGAATACTGTAAAAAATGGAATCTGAGAATAAATCTCGAAGAATCTAAAATAATGGTCTTTCACAATGGCGGTAAGCCATCATGTGAAGAAAAATGGTTCATGGGCTCCAAAAGTATAGATGTAGGTCAACAGTACAAATACTTAGGAATAGTTCTCACGCCTACTCTCTCAATGTCCAAACATCTGGCAGAATAACTGGAGAAAGCCAAGGTGGGTTTGAATTTGGTCCCAGTTTATAGAAAACAAAGAAATAGCTCTATCCAAGTATTTAATTCCGTTAGTAGGGCAGTGATGTGCTATGGAGCACCAATCTGGGGTGGGTTAAGTTATGAAACCGTAGAAAGACTACTAAGATTCTTTTTTAAAAAGATATTTAAATTACCAAAGCATACTCCAACACATTTTATGCACTTTGAGACTAAAATAGATCCGTTATTTATCTTCACAATTAAACTCCATTTTGATTACATCATAAAAACTTTGAATCTTCCACCACATAGATATCCAAAAATATTAGCATTACAGATAATTAAAAAAGAAATCATATGGTTTAGGGACTTACATAATCTGATAGAACTGCATGGATTAAATTTCAACTCATTGGAGATGGATTAAATCAATCTAACTGCGATGATGTTAAACTATGGAGAGCTAATTTATATTTACTAAGAACTCAAATTCAGAAAGACATATATAATCAATATGTAGTTAAAGTTCAGAGTTCTAAAACTTTCACTTTTTATCATAATTTAACTTCAGTAAATTATATTGATGACAAAAGCTCATTGAAGTTGATCAGATGGGTAATTAAATTAGAGCTGATGTTTTGAACTTAAATTATAAACACTTGAAGCAAACAAATAATATTTGTAGCATGTGTAATTCAAACAAAACAGAAGATCTCTATCACTTCCTGACTGCTTGTCCGATACTCTCTAAATTTAGAATTAAATGGTTAAAATATAGAAATTTATCTCAGGATCAAGTAATAGATTTAATAAATGGAAACAATTGGATAGCATTAGTAAATTACTGGAAATCTGCTTTCGACTATAGAATAGTGTTCACCAAAGAATTTAACAATTAATAAATTGGAAAATTTTGGTACCACACTTTATGTAATTAAAATATTTATATAACTTTTACATTGTAAATATAATTGTTATTATTTTCTTATTAATCAGTTGTATATAAATAGATTGAACTATAATTTTATTATAAAACACAGACTCCTCTGACTATCAACAGGCCATGTAGCATGTCTGATTTTCGGTTTTAAATCCAAAAATATTATTTTGTATTGTCTTCCATTTAGTTTTAGTTTGTCTTTTACAAACTTCAAATTTGGCGCTCCTTCTTTTCTTAAACCCTTAAGTACATGGTAAAATAACTTTTGATTTCATTAGAAATCTGATTCCCTATTCTCTAATCTGTTTTATCTCCTTTATTGATAACTTTTACTCGCAGGCAGTCTTCCTTTTCTTAAACTTTTAAGTACACAGTAAAAAGGTAAACAATAACATGATTAGTATATGAAGAATAAAATAAATTATAGATCCAGTATGAAAATAATAGACAAAATTGCTAAAACTTAAGGCAAGGGTGATTAGGAATGAAGGAAATGTTATCGCAAATTTAATCTTTCTTTTCTTGTTTAAATAATTTTTTTATTAGTTGAAAATCAATACATTCTGCCACATTGGAGGGCATTAATATTAGGGCTACATTAATCATTCACACAATATGTACATACAAATGATAACTAAAATAGAGATAATAAAGAAAAAGAAATCTAGAAAATAAAATAAGAAAATTTGAGTCCGCAATTTGATTGTAAGATCAGCCTAGACGAGGTAAAAACAATCAATAAAGTGATTATTAACCAACATTGGTTCAGAAGTCATCCACTTCACGACCCCAGCGATGCTATCTATGGACTAACTCGATGAGACCATGTCTTGATCCTTCACTTACGAACGTAACACAACAGGCTCAAAGCTCACCTATTCAGTAAGTTCAAAATTGGCTCTAGTCCCCTCTGCGAGTGCGGTGAGGGTGTACAGAATGTGGAACATATCCTATAAACGTGCATGGCTACACCCAGCAAAGGAGTGTCATCTGACCCTGTCCAACTGAAGAGGAAAGGAAACTATATGGAAGTCTGGAGGACCTGAGAAGGACTACCAAATTCTTTATTTCAGTTCCTGACCTTGTCCTATAAGGAGGAACGCTGAAGAAGAAGAAATAAAAAAATTATTATACATGTACAAAAAAAAACTAAATAGAGAAATACAACATTGCACAGTTGCTCAACTGTGTTGAGTTGCTAAATAACATATCATACGCATCAATACAAATATAATACTGTATAAAAATATAAGAGAGAGTTAGGTCAGACCATTGTAATACATATCAGACATGCAAAGAACGGTTCATAGAATCAATTAAGAGAAGGCCTAGATCAATATATGTGGTGATGGAGGATTTCTAACGAGTCCAAAATAATTGGTTCTGTCATAGTCTGTATCTGCTTTCTTCCAACACCTAACCTCTGCAAGAAATTACTTGTAGTAAGAGGGATGCTTCCTCTGCTTCCGAACCATAGCCCTTTAACTAAGTATTCTCTCTCACCGAATTTATCTCTGTACTGTCCCATCAGGTAAGGTATGCATTTCATATAAATTTTTTCTTTCTCTGCTTGTACCTTGATGTCCTCATCCTTAGCGTTGGTTTCAAATCTGATTGTGGGATCCACTATGAGTGCCTCCTTTTTCGTCAAATTGAACGCCAAGAAGTCAATGAACCTTGTTGAGCCCTCTATATCCAGATAGTAAACTTTGAGAAAACAATTATAGTTCTTTATTTCAAGGAATTCAGCTATATGATGCTTTATATTGTTGTGCCATTGGGTGACTAGGAGCATGTTATGCGGACATTTGCCCAACACTTGAGCTGGGGTTTCTTATTCTGAGCCACATTTGCGGCAGAAAATAAATGAAATTAAAATAGATAAAACACATTCACACCTACTTATACAATATTTACATTCGCCTAGGGGAGTCATGCTTTGTGATCAACATGTGGAAGCCAGTGGAGACTGATGGAGAGGGCACTAGAGCAATAGACACTCAGGACTTGAGTGGAGAATCTGGCCATTGCCAGTACTCCAATATACAGACATTTACAAAAGGTCTCAGAGCCACAGTTTTTCCAAACTTTGAGAAGGATGGCTGGAGCTAGATAGAGAATTTCGATGGTGAGTAAGATTCTGGTGTAATTTGGAGAATTTTTCTGGGATAAGGTCTAAAACAAATGGTATATTAAGAGCATTATGCAGGGTTTTGTTAATTACATAGAATGAAGCATCAATTATTGTTTGAATGACTTTGAACATGAAGGGTCAGATGCATTTGATGTTAGAATATTTTGCTGTCCATAGTTCTACTCCACAAGTCAAAATAGGTTTTATGATTGTCTTGTAGATTAGTAATTTGTTGTAAAGAGAAAGTTAAGATTTTCTATTCAGTAGTCTATATAGCTGGTCATTTCAGCTAACCTCTTGTCTTTTAATATAGATACTGGACTGTGTCTGAGTAAGGGAGTTAGATGAAGTTAAAATTGGGACTGGATTAGATGGATTATAAGCTTGAAAACCAATCTGGGGTGCCATACCCGGTTAAAAGGTTGTTCTATTTCCGAAATGCAACTGAGCAATATTGTTTGTTTTCTAGGGCTGAAGAAATATGTTCTAAAGCTAAGAGTCATTGTTAGACAATGGAAAATCCAGAAAAATATCCAATCTGATGGGAAGGAAGATTTTAGAATTCTATCTTCCTCAGATGCTGCCCAGGAGTCATCATCTCGCTAGTGGGGATGGGAAATTTGGCGAGATTTTAGATTTTGTTTTGTGGAATTCCAAAAGGAATAGTTACAATGAGAGGGAGGATTGGTAGGAATCAAAGGATTTGGATCTATAAATGACTGTTCTCTATGCTCCCCTCCTTAGTCCCTCCTATCAATGGATATACAGTCAAACTTCACCCTCTAATTATGAAACATCAGATACTAATAAAAGTCATATGTAATACTTAATTGATTTTAATTTCCAAAATTATCTAAATATTTCCCTCAAATAATAATGGTGTATTCTTAAGACAGAGATTTTTTTCCTTTATATTAGAGAGGTGATTATTACCTTATAATTTACATTGTATTTGCTGAGCTACTTTGAATGATACCAGCTAAAATAAGTAGCTTTGTATACCCAAGAACGTATTTACATAGCCAAATGGAATTATGAAAATAATTTTTATCTGAATGTATGTTGAAATTTATGTGATATTATATTTTATTTATGTTATAAAATCTCACAATCACACTATTAAAAACTTGTTGAGATTACAAAATGAACTGCTGGTTTGTGTTTATTAAAATATTGTACTATAGCTTATTTATGAAAATTTTAGATATATTTTTTAATGTTAGATGCTTATAACCTATAAATATTTTTTTATGTTCTCTTTTAGTGAAGGAGAGCCTTCAGCTAGAAGTTCAAGGAACCCACGTAAAGGGATGGGTAATAGAAAGTAAGTACTACTATCTATTTAATATTAAACTGAATGCAAAACTTTTACTTGATATATTTAAATTGATTAAATGATAGTAGTGTTGTAAATTTTACTATTTAATATACTAAATGGGTCATTTCAAAATTCCGGTCATATTTGGTCATCAATTTTCTTTTTTTTAAAGAGAGAGAAATATCGTGTTTTTTGACTTCTTAGCAATCTATACAAGGTGTACTGGAAGTAAAGGAAAATGTTTATAGGAGTGATAGCAGACCTCAAGAGCTACAAAAAAGGTCATATAAACAATGGGCCAATTTTCTGCAGAAATGCAGGAAATCCAAGTTTTGTGCTTTCCCGTTTGTTTTGTTGAAGAGGAAATGGTAACTAAAGAAATGTTTAATTTAAGTAATTAAAAATTTCTTCAATGTAAATTAGATACAATTTACTTCAAATCAAATAGTTTGTCATGGTTAAAACCATTTACAGGAGACTTTTGAGAGGCTAAACTAAGCTTAATTCTGTTTATAAAAAAAAAAAATCATAAATTATTCGTGATTTTTTTTTATTGTCATCTAATTTTACTACAGACACTCCACTTTTAGGAAAACTTCCACATTTAATGAGCTTTAAGTCCATATTAATTAAGTTGAGATTTATTTGGCAAAAATTTGTGATTCACCTCAAGTTGTGTAAAGAAATGATGTGATTTTATATCTTGTCACCTAAAAGTACCCGTGTTTTCATCAAAAACGACTACAATTAACTGGATTCTCTAGGAAGTGTGAGGGTTTAGCCTATCATGAGCACAAACGTTTACTCAGCTTTTGAGACAGAATTAATTTAAAATAATCTGAAACAAATCACTATCAATCATCACTCAGGGCATATGCGCATACTCCGGGGAGGAGGAAAGGCAAGGGCGAGATCACCCCCAATAAAAATATAGAAGAGGCGAGAATATTGTTTCGCCTCCCATAATATTTCGAGGCGTAAAAAAAATCATTAACAATTTATCTATATGAATGAATTAAGAACATAGGAAAACTAGATGGCTAAGCTAAGGTCTAGAAGTAGGCACACAAGTATTTTACTACACCCAATGTTCCTATTATTGTTATCTTAGTTTATATTAAAATATTATTATATTGCTTAGTTTATATTGTGTAAATAATTCAATATCATATTGCTTTTATTTTTTGGGGGTTGTCCATCTCTCCCTCAACCAGAATTGACTTACTTTTATAGGAAAACCAATGCACAAGAAAGTGAGGTTGTAAAAAAAATATTCCAATGCTTTTAACAAAATAACTATTCTATATACTCAAGTGGAGAGCGATCTAGATTTTTAAAAAAACAGCAGAATGGATCTTGAAGTGGTCTGTTGGCCCTGAGCTCAAAGCACAGAAATATTACCCATTCCACTTTTATTTTCTAGATTTTTATAAAATTTATAGGGAGTGAATATCAACACCAGTGACACTCATAAAATGAGTCGGTAAAGTGACATGCATTATTCAATATTTTTAAAATATGAATATTGAGGTTAGCCATTATATCATTTCCTAATAGCCCTAGCTTTAAAGCCCCCCCTCATGAAATATTTCACAATGTACAACTTACTGTGGAAGTACCTTTGGGCTGTGACAGCACTACGGAGTGATAGATCAGTATTTCACATATTTTTTACTGGGTCAAGTACCTATAATTTTTACCAAGCAATGAATGGAAAGTATGCTTCTCAGATCATGACAAAATTATTGGACTGCTTTTACTTACAATTTGACAATAGAATAGAATAGAATAGAATAGAATTGAATTTATTTGTTAAAGATTATTTTATAATCATGTACAAATCATACATATATGAATAACTTTATTTCACCAACATGAGTCTAGTTTATCATAACTGTACATTGACTTATTATAAAAACAATAATACTTCATTACATTCCAATTAATTTCTATATACATTATCAATGAAACCAAAAAAGAAAAAAGAAAAAAGAAACAAACAATTAATTGAACTGACCAACATTTATCCTTAGTCATAGCACTTGATTGGTGTGTGGAAAATCAGAGCTTAAGGAATCCAGTGAATTGCACTCCGACATTATGAACCAGTAAACCTTGTTAAGTTTCTCTATGCTATCGATTCGAAGTATGTCTTGTATCTTGTTTACATCACTTGGCGCAGAGAGAAATGCTCGTAAATGTTTGTGTCTGTCATCTGTTAGCTTTTCACAGTACAGAAGGATATGGAACAGACTGTTAGTAATGAATTGGTAACAGAAAGTGCAGGTTTCCTGGAATTTGAAGTAGAAACTTTTGTTTTTCGTATAGAGGTTAATTAATTCGGGATTTGAAACCCTTAACTGACATATTGATCTTAGCTTTTTCATGTTAGCTCTATACATCAAATACTCTGGGCTGGAAATATTGAAGCTGGAAATAGTTCTATATATGGGATTGTTGTTGGAATTTATGGATAAATGGATGTCCTTAGATAAGTTATGGTTTTTTAGCTTTTCCAATATTTCATCGCTGTATTTTATGATCTGATTAAGTATGATCTGAGCTAATTAGATTTATATTTATTCACGGTTTTGTTTGTAGCCCTAACGACACGCATAATTCTCCTTCCCAAATCTCATCACTTTTGTCTTAGTTGGTCTTCTTTTAACCTGCTTATGTTATTCTGAAGATTCTTCCCAATCTCTAACAAAACAACGATGTAATCAGCAATAGCAGCTACATTGTTGTAGTATATTGTTGCAGTACATTGCTGCTGCAAGAGTAATGAGAAGCTCTGTCTCTCTAAGATTGAATGACAGAATACCTAACCAGAAAAAAAATAGTGGACTTTAACCACAGCCCTTTCATATAAGGTGGTTTTGATTTTGCTACAAGTGAAGTTGCAGTACATGACCTTGATTTATTCCTTTTTTTCCTTAAAGAAAATCATATTTTTCTTTTCGAGGAATCCTTTGATTCCTTTTCGTATTCTCTTTTCTAGCATCTTAAAATGTACTTACTTACAACCCTTAAGGGAGGCATACTTTGGTAGAATTACTGTCTTTGTTATCGTCTTTTGTAAACATTGGGATAGTAACAGCTAATTTTATATTTTGGCACTTCAGAGATTATTTCATTGCTACTCCTTCTAGGGTGGATGGTTTAGTTAACCGTTTATCTGTAAATGAGCGTTCGGTAGAAGATTTGATAGACACTCTCTCAAATATCATCAAGAGGTCTGCTAATTATAATCCTTACCCAAGGTCAGTATATAAAAGTAAAAATCCATGGTTTGATAAGGAGTGTCCCCAGGATAGAAATATGTCATTTATAAGTTTAAAGTTATTTAGAAAAACTTCTTCCCCTCACAATAGATTAAAATATTTAAATTGAAATAGTACTTATAAAAGTTTATGTTTATTAAAAAAGAAGCAATATTATATAGATTGTGTCCAGCGTCTGAATAAGTTTCATAACAGTAAAGAGTTTTGGGAACTTGTAAAAGTATTTAGAAAAAGTAATTACTGGTTTGTAGGTAATATATCATCACAAGATAAAATGCTATTTTAGATAGAACCATCTCTCTTGGTGAGTTGAAAGCGGTTTTGGGTAACTCCAAAAATAACAAGGCACTAGGAAGTGATAGAATCCCTTATGCATTTTACAAGTATGCTCTCAATTCTTTTTTAAATATTTTATTGGATACATTTAATAGAATTTTTGAAATGGGGTGTGTCCCTTTAGCATTTAAAAAATCAATTATTTTTCCATTATATAAAAAAGGGGATAAAAATTTGGCTTCTAATTACAGGGGAACCTCCTTCATTAATTCAATCGCCAAGTTGTATACGGGCTTGATTTTGGCTAGATGTCTGGATTAGATTGATGAAAACAATATAATTAAAGCAGCTCAGGCTGGTTTTAGAAAAAAATATTCAACAACCGATAACATATTCACATTAACAAGTCTAATTAAAGTAAAATTAAAAAATAAAAGGGAAAAAGTTTATACATTTTTTGTAGATTTTTCTACAGCATTTGATTGTGTGGATTGTTATAGTCTAATTTATTTATTAGACTTTATTAAATTATATCATCTAGGATTTTCATCTAAATTAATTAATTCAATTAAAAGATTACTTAGCGATACTAATGCTGCAGTTTGGGGTTTGGATGGTTTGACGAAACCATTTAGTATGGAATCGGGTGTAAGACAAGGTTGTTTGCTTAGTCCGATTCTATTTTCGTTATTAAATAAATGCTTTGGAAGAGAATTTAGATGGTGGCATTTGTGTTGAGGAAAATTGTAAAATTAAGTATCTGGCTTTTGCAGATGATAATGTTTTCCTATCTTCGCACCCATCGACATTACAGAGTAATATAAATTCCCTAGATGAATACTGTAAAAAATGGAATCTGAGAATAAATCTCGAAAAATCTAAAATAATGGTCTTTCACAATGGCGGTAAGCCATCATGTAAAGAAAAATGGTTCATGGGCTCCAAAAGTATAGATGTAGGTCAACAGTACAAATACTTAGGAATAGTTCTCACTCCTACTCTCTCAATGTCCAAACATCTGGCAAAAAAACTGGAGAAAGCCAAGGTGGGTTTGAATTTGGCCCCAGTTTATGGAAAACAAAGAAATAGCTCTATCCAAAAAGTTCCAAGTATTTAATTCTGTTAGTAGGGCAGTGATGTTTGAGTGGTCGTTGAAGAGAAAAAAAAAATTAACATGCTTTTGCAGATTAATATCTAACATTTTTCTTTATATGTACTTACATTTAGTTATAATTTATGTTATTAAAATTTATAAAGAGAAAATAATGTGATTGTTTAAGTATTTAGCTTAGATCACTCACATAAACAAATATGAATCAATGAAAAAAAAATGTTTTTCTTGAGGTAGCAAGTAGGCCAAATTAAATAGCAACAGTAGTAAGACAAATTTTAACTACAGTACCCAGCAATTCTTACTGCCAGGGGTACCCATCTTCCCCAAGGTCGATGGCAGAACCTTTCCTCTCCCTTGGTACTTTATTGCTCACCTCTTCTTAAAAAAAGTGGAAATGAATGTAGAATTTGAAAAATTGTATATTATATACTATTCATATATCGTATATTATTCCATGGCATCCATGGAGTGCCCATCTCCCTCAAGGCCGATGGCGCATGCCCCCCAAAAAGTTATTATTACCCTCCTCACTTATACAATTAATATGTATCTATATGAGATGTAATATCAATTTTAGATTAAAAGATAGTAGATAAAATATGTGTTTGTTTCTCGAGAATATTAAAGGAACAATACATTAGCCAATTATAATCAACAAGTAACATCAGCAATATTTTTAGAGAAGGCAACGGCTCCCCCCTACCCTTCTCTGCCTATGCCAGGAATTCATTATTATTTTGTTTTAAAATATTTTTCCTTTTAAATAAGAATTTCATCTGAAATAATTGCGAGAGCATTGTCAAAATGGTGTATATAATTATAAAATATGGGAGGGGAGGGGGAATAAATGTGAGGATGGATAAATTAGTATTTATTTTCTAATTAGTTTCTTTTAGAATGTTGAAACGATCTGTCACTGATGGTAATATTTCATAAGTTTTTTATTTGTTGCTACTTTAATTTAAATTTGTTTCCGTGTTCTGTAGCCAAAGACAAGGCATTGGTTGTATTTATTATATACACACAATAAAGGTACTGCATACCGATATTTCAAACAAGCGGCGCTCTTTGAGTTAAAGCTGAAACTGGAAATACGGAAGACAATACTCCACTTGTGTTGAGTACTTAGGATAGTGTCATATCTGCTGCTCTTCCAAGTATGCCAATGCAGCGCCCTTACATATTTTTTTATATATATGCAAAACTCAAAGTGCCTTTTTTTCCCTTTATTTCTTGGTTTAAATGTTTTATTAAAATTGAATACTTAATGTGCCCTCTCCTCCCCTCCCCGCCCCCAAACATTTTGATAGTGCAACTTGCTCCATAAAACCCCCCCTGTGGGCACCCCTGTTCCATGCTTCTCATTTTCTTTTTGTTTGAAACTTTTCATTCCGAAAATTCAGAACCCTGTCGAAATGTGACCCCCTCAAAAATTTAAAACCCCTTTACAATGTGCACCTCAAACATTTTGATGGTGCATCTTGCTTCATGTAACATCCTTCTAAAACCCCTGCCGATTACTCTTTTGGTGAAATTTTCTTTAGCGACTACGGAACACATACATCTTTTTTTTTTTTTATCTGATTTATTGAAAAATGTTACAATCTGTCTCAAGGACATCTATAATAGTGTTCACAGATCACATTCACACTCTATGTACAATAAATAAAATAAAATAAATAAAACACATATATCTAAACATAATCGTTTATCAGTCTATGATCTCTTCTTCCTTATTTTTTTTCCCACTTAATAGTTTTGTATAGTGATGCAACATTAAAGAAAATGGTAAAATATACTGGCTATGGAGCAAAATTTGTCTCTTTCAGCCGATCCTATCTCGAGTAACAATAATTTCCATATAGTTAAAAAAAATAGTGGAAGTAATTATTATATTTATGTGTGTTTAATATTGCTCTGTTTTACATTTAAAAATGTGTTTGAATATAAAAATATGAAGCCATTTAAATATTACAAGTTCTCAAAAATTTCTGCCTTCGGCATATGCACAGTTTGCATTTTTGTATGTAAGAAACATATGTAATAACTATCGAGAAATATCATTCCTTTCGGTATGTTATAAAATATTCACATTAATCTTAACTAGTCAAATCACCGAAAATGCTGAGGAAATTATTGGAGACTACCAATGTGGATTTAGACGGAACCGCTCAACTAATTAACTATTGATCAAATATTTTCTTTACTGCAGATATTGGAGAAAAAATAAGAGTAAAATGGTGTTTTTCATCAGCTTTATATAGATTTTAAAAAAGGCTAATAATCCCATTGACCGCCAGAAGCAGTATAATATTCCAATTGAGCAGGGGATCCCAAAAAAATAGTGATTCTAGTTAGGATGTGTATGTCTGAAACATTCAGTAAAGTTAGGATCGGTTATTATTTATCTTAGAAATTTGTGGTTCATTCGGGCCCAAAACAAGGCGATTCCCTTTCACCTGTCATATTTAATTTGGCATTATAACAAGCCATTAAAGAGCTGATACATACTGAAAAAGGTTTGAATCTGGGTAGCTTTGGTATGCTGATGATTTAGTGCTGTTAAGTGAAAACATGGAAACAATAAAACGAATTACAACAACATTGATGAAAGGAGTTAAAGAGCTGGGGCTCGAAATAAATACAGATAAGACAAAATATATGGTTAGCTGCAAAAACAGCGACAATATTGGTGATATCGACCAAGAAAAGACCGGCTAACTGTTGCAAGACCAAGACCAAGACTGGTAAAAAAAATCGTTTTTGTGAATAAAAATTAAGGTTAAATAGTTACTAATACTTGACAATTTTAGTTATTATATGTAAAGCATTAGTATAAACAAAATACTTTTGCATTTAATTCTTCCAATTTTTGGTTTGGGTTTTAGGTTTTCCCTGCCTATTACAGTAATATCTCTATAGTAATAAGCTAACAGGTAACTGCAAGACTGTTGCGAGACTCTTGTGTAAAACCAAGACTCTGCTTGGTCTCGAATTTGTGCAACACTACTGAATATTTATATTTATATGAAATTACAAGAAAATATGCATTTACATTGCACTAATTTTCACTGATAATAGAAACTTAATTTTTCAGTTCTTTTTATTAATCAAAGAAGAATAGACATCATAATGAGTGATTTCAATTTCACCATAAAATATAAACATTTAGAATTTTTTATATAATTTTTAATTAAATGCATTATTTATTTTTTAGACAAGTTATTCGTCAATTTTAATTTATTTAAAAGAAAATATATAGAAGGATTACTTTATTTTTTAACTTAAGGGTGTGTGGTGAATAGCCCAGCAATGCGAGCTTCATCGGTTTTCCGCTAGATGGCATAAACTGCTAGGCCAAAAGTAATATTTCAAGATTATAATACAGTAACTGCTTTTGTTTTCCTTTCATTGTGCAATTTTACTTAACAATTTAGTTATTTTTTTTTACCTTAATCATATATACCAACTTATAAATGTACTAGTCGCGTAAAATAGTTATAGCTAAAATAGCGTAAAATAATATAGTAGGAGCAGAACAATTGTTAACTTTATTTTTACTAAAGGTGCGATTAGACATTTCACAAACTATGGGACAAAACAATATATAAATGGTTATTTCAGTATGCTGGTATTTTTGATAAATTCGGTCTGCTGTCGGTAGTATTGCCCAAAATCGGTCTTGCTCTTGCACTTTGCAAATAACACTTAACATGCAAATATAATTCTTCTTCTTTATTATTTTAGTTATTATTTGTATTTATATATTGTGTGAATGATTAATATAGCCTTAATATTAATACCCTCCAATGTGGCAGAATGTATTAATTTTCAATTAATAAAAAAAAATAATTAAATAATTGATGACATTGTATATATTGTCTATACTCCACAACTCTTCCATTCTAAGGTGGAGGCCTGGTGGCCTATCATTTTCTTTTTTGACAATGTATTTAATGTACTGTCAAGCTAATAAAATTTATTTGGTTGGACTTTACTATGTTTATGTCAATAAAACATCTAAATGTACATATTCCGTAGCGTTTGTCTAGCGTCAGATCATTGTGTTTCCCATAGTTAGAGAAATGTCTAAACGCAAGTTCACAATGGATATCAAGTGTGAAATCGATATGTTAGTAATTAAATTACCTGATGTAGACAGGTTGATGAGGCTCAGTTTAAATTGAGCGAAGTTACTACTGAAGGAACAACATTTGATTGTTTAGTATCTAAATTAGATCGAAAATTTGTTGCAGATATAGTTGACATTCTAGATTTGGAGAGTGAAAAAAATATTCATTAGTCCAAAAAAGACTTTTTAACCTTTATTAAGATAGTGAGGACTCTCAAATCAAACGTTTAGTTACCGGCCTAGAACTCGGTGACTTTGAACCAAGTAAACTATAAGGGAAAATGACTTCTTAGCGGTTACCGACATATCATCTAAAGCCCACCTTACACGTTCAGTATTATTGAGTCAATATCGAATATATTGACCGCCTGAGGGATATATTGTAACAATTATATTGAAATTTGTACTATGTATGCAACGTTCAGGAATATTGTATCAATATTATTGATTCAATAATATTGACCGTGTAAGGTGGGCTTAAATATATGGAAGAGTTGTGGAGTATAGACAATATATACAATGTCATCAATTATTTAATTATTTTTTTTATTGATTGAAAATTAATACATTCTGCCACATTGGAGGGTATTAATATTAAGGCTTTATTAATCATTCACACAATATATAAATACAAATAATAACTAAAATAATAAAGAAGAAGAATTATATTTGCATGTTAAGTGTTATTTGCAAAGTACAAGACCAAGACCGATTTTGGGCAATACTACCGACAGCAGACCGAATTTATCAAAAATACCAGCATACTGAAATAACCATTTATATATTGTTTTGTCCCATAGTTTGTGAAATGTCTAATCGCACCTTTAGTAAAAATAAAGTTAACAATTGTTCTGCTCCTACTATATTATTTTACGCTATTTTAGCTATAACTATTTTACGGGACTAGTGCATTTATAAGTTGGTATATATGATTAAGGTAAATAAAATAACTGGTAAATAACATTATGGCTGGATAAACTTCTTGACTCTATAAAGAATATGATACTACAATAGTTCGCAACTGTGCCTCTGGGGTGCAGTGATATAGGAGTAGAACAATTGTTAGTATTTTATTTATTTTTCCTTCAATCTATATCAAGTGTGAACTCGATATCATGCGTAATAAAGGTGTTACTTTTATTATTAAAAAAATGGCGTTGATTAAGCCAAATTAAAACCAACTCTGGGGGACAGCAAAATTCTCTAACATCAAACGCATCCAATCCTTTCAATCCAAAGTCCTCCGAACAATAGTCGATGCTCCGTTCTATGTAACCAACAAAACCCTACATCATGACCTTAATATCCCATTTGTCCTTGACCTTATCCCTGAAAATTTCTCAAAATTCCATCAGAACCTTATCAATCATCCAAATCCCCTTGCCCAATCCCTATCTAGTTCCACTCATCCCTACAACCATCCTCGAAGGTTGAAGCGGCAGTGGCCTAGAGATCTTTTATAGTATTTATTTTGGAGTTCTGGCAATGGCCAGATTCTTCACTCAAGACATGAATGTATGTGGCTAAAGTGCTCTCGCTCAAACTCCACCGGCTTTAGCACCGGTGAGGCGGTTGAGAGAGTAGCGCGGGGATTCGGGTTCCCCGCCTGATTGTATATATTGTATATAGGTATGACTGTTTTTATGTTTTTAATTTACTAGTATTTAGGTTATTTTTTTTTATTGTATATAGTTTTTATTTAGTTATTATTTTACTTTTGTTAATTTAATTTGATTTTTTTTGTATATACGGTGTGAATGTGTTCATTTATCAATATAATTATTGTCCCTGTGACAGAATATTATAGGTCTAAATAAATAAAAAAAAAACCAAAAAAAAAAATCTTTTAAAGATATTTATTACAGTTACTCAACATTAACTTAACAATATTACTACTTAATAACTAGTAATAATAGTTTATTCCCTATAAAATAATGTAGTGTATTTGAAAAATAATGTATTTTCGTAAATGTTTATTGCTTTAAAATAATTATAAAGTTTTTATTGGTTAACAATTATTTACAGTAGAAACTATTTAATTTACAGTAAATTTAAAAATTGATTTTAATAAACAATATTTTGAATATTTTTTTAAAAACTTTTGATTAATAATTGTTGTGCCGTCCTTAGGATATGTTCGGGGCGCTTCGCAGTGGACCGAAACGCTAAAATCGGGGACAAAATACCAATTTTCAAGTATTTTAGTTTCCCAAAAAGGTTTTATACCTTCTTGAAGCCAGATAGCTGGTGACATCGAATGTACAAGGAATGATTATTTTAATAATGTTCCTCAAGATGAAATTTAATTTTAAAGTTATTTATTTTGCACAAACACTAATAATCGATCACAGTAAAAGGGTTAAAAAAATTTTGTCCTTTTAGAGTTATTTCTACATTATTTTTTAAAATTAATTAATGAATATTTAATTTTGGACCCAGAAGCTACCACCCATTTCAGTCTCATATTGTCACTGGGATAGTAATAAACATGTTCAGAGACAATATGGCCGCGACTACCTGTGGTCACATTTTTGGCAGCATTTTTTCATTATTTTTTAAAACTTAATTGCTGAGACAACTCTTATAAGAGCATTTTAATGAGTAAATTGAATTTCATTGGTTCTGTAGATAACTTTTCTTTCAAAAAATCTTTATTTTTTATTCAGGTATGGACATCAGTATGAGAAATTGAACCAATTCTTAAATTCTGTTTTTATTAACTTAATTGTGATAGGGGACATATTAAAATGAGCTACAATTATTTAGTGGAAACGTACTTATCAGAGAAACTAAATTTTGAAATGGGTGAAATTTTCAGCAGAAATATTTAGCATTGATAATTTAAAATTATTGAGCGACTCCTTTCTTTAATACTTTAACGTAAATTTAACCTAAAATGAGATGCATAGAAACAAATCTCGTTTATAAATACTGGTTGAACTAATGTGTCGAGGAAAAGAAAATATATATTTCAAATTTGGGAGTTGAAGAACCGCAAAAAAAAATTAAGGAAATGTTGGCACAAAACAATAAGTAAAGAAAACAATACAATCATTCTGAATACTTTATTATTGGAATGCATAAAAATTTAGTTTAAGAGTTTCCATATTTCAGATCGAATGAACGAATTATTAACACCACTCACATGATTTATCAAAGAATGTTTAGCTTTTTAGAAAATTTTGGTCGAATGGGGAAGCTTTGTTTGTGGATGCAATTTTACTAAACACCATATCAATATAGTTTGATGAGAAATGAATTAATATAAAGGTATACTTATATATTTTGGAGAGCCAGAACACCTACCACACGTCCAGAAATTAATGTAGTCGAAATGTGGATGTGATAGATCATTTAAAAGGTGAAAAGATATGGTGATTTATGACAAAAACACGAAAAGTAAAATAGGACACTAGAAAAAAACTCTCTATTTATCTAAAAAATCAATTTTCAACTATTGCAAAACTATTGAATACATACTAGAAAAACAGCAGAACTCGACAGCACTAAGCAATAATGCGGACTGTCATGAAAAACATTTTGTTGTGTTGCAGTTAAGGACATATTGCCATGCAGTATCCGTCTGATATTTAGTACTTTATGTACAACATATATATATATCGGTTTTTTAAGGATGAAAAAAAAACATGTTTTTTTATACAAAGAATAAATTTTATTCTATAATGTATCTGCCGTTTTTATTAATGACCTTATGTCATCTTTCTAACAATTGCATTATTCCGCTTTCGTAAAATATCTGAGGCTTAGAAGCGAAAAATTGATCGAGAAACGTTTTCACATCTCTCTCATCAACGAACGATTTCTCTTTGAGGGATTATTGGAGGGACCGGAATAAGTGTTAGTCAGATGATGCAAGGTCTGGTGAATACGGTGTGTATAATAAAACATTCCAGCCAAGTTGGACTAACTTTTACTGATTATTGCGAAGTGTGGTCTAGCGTTGTCATGGTAGAATACAGAACCTTTGCAATTGACTAGTTTTGGGCGTTTGTGTCGCAATGCATGGTCCAATTTCGTTAGCTGCTTGCAGTAGATCTTCGAACCAATTCATTTCCCTGGTGGAAGCAGCTGGTAACACAGCACGTCGCAATAATCCCACCATACGGAGAGCAAAATCTTTTCCTGACTTAGGGGAGGCATAAGGCGGCTCTTCAGCGATCGTCCACGATCTCCTGCGCACTACATTGTCTTAGATGATCCACCCGTCACTATTCGACTGAGAATGGATCCATTTCGTGCTGGTTTAGTAGAGAATAGCAGATTGATATTCGGTTGGCCAGGTTTGTCTTAGTCAGTTTGTGTGACCCCCAAACATCGGGGTGCTAGACGTAGTCAAGTTGTTTTAAATGCCTTTGAACGGTTTCAAAACCTATTTTCAGTGTCTCCGCAATTTCTCCTACCTGCAGCGACCGGTCTTATTCGATTTGATATCACTCGAATCAACGTCGGTGGGCCGACCGCTGCTGGGTGCATCTTCGAGACCCGTATCTCCGGAACGAAACTTGACAAACCATTTTTGAGCGGTACGCTCTGTTAAGGCATCGTCCCGGTATACCTTACATATCTTTCGTTGAACTTACAAAGCTCGCTTGCCTTTTTTTAAATAAAAAAGCGAAAATGCCGAAAATGTACTTAATCATATGACATATTCACTACGCTGCAGCACAAACAAAACTAATGCCAATGAAACCAAACACAACAGTTTCGAAGAGCGGAATTTGACCTTTCCAATAAGCATCATTATCGTCAGATAAGACAAAGAGAACTGGAGAGATTTGGAAATAATTCGTACTACTAACAAAAACCGAACGAACTTATGGATCCACCCAATATACATATAAACCTGTATCGACCACTGTCTTGCCAGTTTTGGTTTCGTTCGGATATTATTCGATAGTTCATTATTCTCGATAGTTCTCAGAGGAATTAAACAAAAAAAAAAATTAATTTTATAGAAAATCAACGAGTTTTATTAACTTGAGTAATGTGGAAAGTGGTTTACTTACAATTGGATTGATTATTGACGTAATCCGTTTCTAAATTATTTGCAACATAATAAGCTTCAGGAAATAAAAACCTTCAAACATCAACACTACGTTGGTGAATAAAAATAATAATAGAATAAAAAAACTAAATAAATAAATAAAATAAAAAGTAAATAAGTTTTGTTAAACACATTCAAACCTATTTACAGTATTTACATTTGCCCAGAGAACTCCGAGCCAAGCTTTGTCCTCTACATGTGAAAGGCAACGCTGGAATCCATGAGATCCCTATGCCTCTCTTCCAGCCGCGTCATTGTTATTGGAATAATTTATAAATATTTAATTTGAAAAAAAAAACGAAAAAAAATGTTGATTGCTTCCCTCGTAATCTGAGTTGTGATGGGAAAATAATAAAAGTTAATGCTGCCAGTAATGCCAATGCTGGTGGAGGGGGGAGGGAGGGCTAGCCTAGGAAGTGGGGGGCTTTTGTCTCGAAATGAAAAAAATAACTTTTATTTAAAAAAAAAATATTTCCAGTTGTTTCTCAGTTTTTTTTTTGTACTATATAGTTTTTTTTTATCAAGAAAATCGTTATGTATAAGTTTTTACAGAAATTTTTTTTTTTAATTCGTTTTATTAAAAGATCTGTTCACGCAATTAATTTCTTCAATGGCATTCTTAATGATATACTCAAACAAAACAAGTGTAAGAATTTTTCTATTCATTCAAGAGGAATTGTATTTGTAACTTAGAAAACCACTTGGTACAGAATTAAGTTAAATATTATTTTAATTATGGTTTTATGTTCAACAAAAAACGTAGCAAACTTAAAAAAAAACACAAAGCCTAAATTTCCAGCTTTCTTTGTGGAATTGAACCAAAGTTTGATATTATTGTAATTTTATCATCATAATTGTAAACTTATCATTAAAAAAATGGGTTTAAATTGGATGGGGATGTTATAACATCGAATATGAGGGATTTAGCCCTGAGGTCAATGCTTTAAGAAAGGAAATTAACCCCTCATGCCCATGTGGTGGTGTTCCGGAAACCGCTGAGCACGTCGTAACAACCTCCACTTCTTTTGAGGCAATAAGTTTACTAACAAAATCTTTTATATTTTATATATATATTATTATAATGTATTATAAATATATTATATATATTTTTATAATGAATACAAAATGGGAAAGTGGCAGCATTAGTATTTTCAATTCGAGATACCAATATTTATAGTTTTTATTGAATTCTTTTTATTTTAGATCAATATCTAAGCCATTCAAAAATAAATAATGCTTAATGGTACCCCATCTGTAAGAGAAAATAGTTGTTTTCACGACAATTCCGTATATACAAATCCCTACTTGGCTCTAGCAATGCTAGGCCGACTCACCCTTAGCACATTGATATCTAGTGTTGCCCAAATGCGAGACCAAGACGAGTCTTGGTCTTGCGCACTTAACTCTTAGTCTTCATCATGCGCAACAGTATCGCAGTTACCTATTAGCTTATTACTATAGAGATATTACTGTAATATTTTTGATAGGAGAAACCTAACTAAGTCCGAATGGAAAATAAGATGAGTTAAATACAAAACTATATTGGTCATATCAATTCTTGTAACATATTAACTAAAATTGTCAAGTATTAGCAACTATTTTGCCTTAATTTTCATTCAAAAAATCGATTTTTTTTGCTAGTCTTGTTCTTGGTCTTGCGACTGTTAGACGGTCACGGAAAGTGCAAGACCAACACCGATTTTGGGCAACACTATTTATATCAGGCGGTGATAGTGGAATCATAATGACGGAATGAATAATATTATTTAAATGAATAAGTTTTACGAATTTCATGTGATGCTATGATGACACTTATAGTTTCTAGGAAGGCAAATGAACCTGTTAAGAGAAAATTTAAGCAGAAAGTTCTAACATTCTTACAGGACATAGAGCCAAATAAATTATTAAATTTGCAACCATTTCCCATATAGTTGACGAGAAAATTTTAAAAATATCCATCTAATTTAAGGAAAATTAAATAATGGTTTCGATATGGTTTGAGTCTGATTAAAAATTCTGACTTGTTCACCTTAAAAGAGGTAGAGCTCCGTGATAGACTGAACAGATTAATGAATAGCTGCATAAGATTTGTTATTCATGCCCCGAGATACTCCGATGTCTCTCACCACTATACTGAGTTAAGGTGGCTGTTTCCCTCCTTTCGAAGACAATATTTCCTAGGCATGTTCCTTTATCAGATTATCAGCAATCATCGTCCGTCTTACGCCTACAACCTTCTCCAATTCAAGTCCTTAATCCATTCCCTTTCAACAAGATCTCGACCTTCTGGCCTCTACATCCCTTCTCACAGATCTGTTTCATTCCAAAACTAATTTATTGCTCGCGCCGTTAATTTCTGTAATTCCCTACCTATCAAAATTCGGCATTCCCCTTCCATATCCACATTCAAAACCCTCCTATTCCAAAAACAGTCAGATACTTGCTAAACTTTTGATATTATACATTTTTATTATATCATTCATCATCAAATTCTATTCCATACTGAAAACTTCACTAGGGATTTTAAAATATCTTCCTACTTTCAATGCCACTGAATGCATCTATTGTTTGTTTTTTTATTTTTATACAAATAAATTTGTACCTATAGTTACAATAAGATAATGATGCGTTTAGATATTATTCATTATTTAAATACTCTGACATTTTATATTGTCAGATTTGTCTTTCCTTTGTTAGCAGAAACATAGATTATTTTAAAGACGAACTCAAAGTATTTTTGATTATTTTATTTTTCAAAAGTGTATAATTAGTTTTTCCTACCGTACATAGTTTTAAGTGTCTTATAATAGTTTTAAGTGTTTTGTATATAGATTTTTTTTTTTTATATAGCTTGTTTAACTAATATTTTCTTTACTTTCTCTTTTTTTATTATTGTTATATTTTGGACAGACGTAGTCTTTTAAGTATGTACTATTTTGTTATTTCAAAGGGACTTTGTCCCAGAATAAAGTTATTTTCTATTTCTAAAAGATGAATATTACTAAACTTTCGAAATTTGCTTTCCATATTTACAGACTTGAGAACGGTACATCGTTGGCCCCATTAATAAACATTTCTATTTATTCTAGGAGTTGTAGGATGGAATGTAACTGGAGATGTGAGGGGTGGTGGGATGAGGGGAGAGGGTTGTAGGAAAGGTTGAGCTTGGCATCTTGAGAACAACCCCAAATCCAGGTTTTAAGCCTTTCTCTCTTCGGCTTGTTCCTGTCAAAGTTGCCCTAAGCCTGTGATCCGAATCGCAATGAGCTTGATTCGATTAGGATTACATCTCTTTAACCTCCTTCAACGTCCCACCTACAAAGACCCCGCGTGGAGGAGTTGTAAACTAATTAAATGAATGCAGGGCAGATTAGCCCAAATCAAACAAACTTTCTAGAGATATATAACGTGCGAAAATGATACGGTTCCTTTTATTCGCCAAAATCTTTCATCTTCGGAGTCTCCTCTATAATTTTTAAGATAAACTGGCAGTATATTTATTTAATTTTAGATCTAAATTAAAATAATTTTTCGTTAGATAATTTGTTTTATATATTAGCAGGAGTTGGAAATAACCATAAATTTAAATTCAGGTTTATTTATTATTAGCCAATTTTACAACAATTTTTAAATTATGTCAACTTAATGACTACACATCCAATTACGACGTTTCGGCTCGTTGAGTTATTTTCAAGTATAAAAATTGTTTACAATTTACAATCATATTTAAACATTACATATTTCAAAATATAAAGATTCTTTTTATATACCTAAATACCCATCATGTACCTCACTAGCCGATCCAAGATTTAATTTTAGGGGGAGGGGGCTTCAGCCCGAAAGATTTTTTTTTTCATATACATATAACGATAATTAGAAATCAGAAAAAAAAGGAAGAAATTAACTACCTATATGAAATGGTGTTTAAGTGGTTCTTGAAGTCCTATTAAATGTAATTAAACGAACAAGAATACTTTAAGAGATAGTTTTTAATATTTTTTTCTGTAAAACATGATTATATTTTACCATTTGGGGTGGGGGGGGGTTCAGCCCGAAAGCCCCCCCCCGTAGATCCGCCAGTGATGTACCTGTCTTTTTCACATATGTGAATTGCATGCGTCTGCTCATAATAAAATTATTTTATTCTTGTCATGTCCACCTTTAATCATTTTATAACATTATTATTACTCAATTATTTCTTATTAAATGATTCAAATAAGTTAAAATTACCATATCATGTGTCACCCACATGTCATCGGTCTCATTTCTATTCAATGACTGGTTATTCTTATAGGAGTAGGGGATGACAATTTATAATAAACATAAACAATGATGGGTGATAAATATTCAGGACGCAGTCTTTTTTAATTTTTTTTATTTTTGCCAACGTTTCAACCCAAATATGTGGGTCATCTTCAGGGCTGAAAATGTTTTTTAAAATTACAATCAGAGATATAATAGTATACGGCCGCTAATTACAAATAATAAACTATAGTGATTGAAGGCACATGAATCTTAACTAATATTGTAATACACATATTAAAATATTTATGCAAACTAAAACTAAAAAATAAAAAAAATAATATATATAATCCATTTATGTGCCATTATTATATATTCATGTGCCATCAATCACTATAGTTTATTATTTATAATTAGCTATCATCACCACTCAACCTTCTGAAGTTGTCTCTTTAATCAAAGAAAAATCATGGTTGGCGTTGCAAATAACTTGGTCTGCCACTAGAGATAATAAGCTAAGGGTTGTGGAGCCATACGTCCGGAGAGTCACTCTAAATATCCTGCTGACCAGAAGGGAAGAAGTGGTACTGACCCGGCTAAGGATCGGACACACTAGGCTTACCCACTAGTATTTAATGAGGAAAGACTCTCCTACTCAATGTCTTTCCTGCGGGGTACCTCTCACAGCGAACCATATCCTAACCGAATGTTATGCATTCCAATCTTCTAGGGATCAACATCTTCTCAGAAATAGCCTTGAAGAATCACACCAAAAGGATCCCAATGCTATTAAAAACTTAATATTGTTCCTTAAGGAAATCAAAATATTTAACAAAATTTAATCACACCTTGTAATTGTAAATGTTAAGTTTGTAGTTTCCTCTTTAAATTGTAAATATACCTGTTAATTTTTTTTCTTTTAATCATAATTTTTAAAAATAATGGTTTTTTAATTGTTCTTCTCGTAATCTTTAATATTTAAATTGTACTTACTAACTTTTCCTCTTTTAATATTAATTTTGTTTTTTAAACTGTATTTTTAGATTATATTCCTGAAATCATTAACCTATTATTTAAATATCCTTGTTAACTGTTAACTTATCTTTCTCTAATCTTTAATGTTTAATTTTAATGGTGCTTGTACTTTCTAATGTTTAAACTGTATTCTTTAACTTCGCCTCTATTAGTATTAATTTTTATTATTTAAAAATGTATTTTTTAGCTTTTATTCTTAATATCATTAATCTTTATTTTTATTGTCTCTGTTATCTTTTCTTCCATTAAATCTTTAAGTTTCAATTTTTATAATTTTAGTTCAATTGTAATATCATAATCATCTGTAATTATTCTTAACTTTTCAAAATTTAAATTGTATTTCTTAGCTATAGTTTAGTTATGTGTATAGTAATTCATCAAATTATAATATAGGGCGAAAATGACCCAAGTGGTTGAAGAGCCCATAACATGTATAAATAAATAAATAATTTATAATTAGCGGTCGTATACTATTATATCTCTGATTGCAATTTTAAAAAACATTTTCAGCCCTGAAGATGACCCATATGTTTGGGTTGAAACGTTGGCAAAAATAAAAAAAATTAGAAAAGACTGCGTCCTGAATATTTATCACCCATGATATGTAGAACAATCGACTAACTTCCTACAAGAATAAACAATGATGTTTCCCAATATTATATGTGGACCTATTTTCAGTAATATTAGCTAATTAATTTCAAATTTTGATTTTTTCAATTGAACTTGCGTAAAATATATTCATATTATCCACGCCTGTATGATTATTTACTGAGTTTTTTAAATTTTTACTTATGTATATTGCTTCCTTTATTCTACGTGTATACGTATTACTTCCATTATGCAGGATTTTGGCGTATTTGAAATCAAATTCATGTTTTGTTTGCATAGTATGTTGAGAGAGTCCAGTAGCTAATTTAATTTTTAAGTTTTTTGAATTACAATTTTGTTTGTGTTGTTTAAGCCTTTTTTTCAAACCATTGTGATGTTTGTCCAAAATAAATAGTATGCGCCAAAGAAGAAGTGAGAAATATTGTGAATATAAATTTAAATTTAGTTGAAAAGACAAACAAAATAGTTATTTTAAAGGAAAACATTAGTTTAAATTATGAATAATAAAACATCAACTTTTAACTGATGATCAGAATGTGAATTTTATGAAGTAATAACTCACATAATGTGCAATAATAAAAAAAAAAAAAAGACTTAAAACATGTCATTAAAAAACATAAAATATGCGGATAAAAATGTCCAAATATGTAATAAGACCGCTAAAATATTCAATAGCGGGGCTAAAAGTTACCGGGGTAATTTTTCACTTTTTTACTTTCCTGTATACTTAATTTCATTTAAAAACATTCTTTAAAAGTCTTTTAGATTTATAAAGGATATGTATTTATGTCTAGGTAATTTTTAAAATAATATTTGAGATTGTTTAAAAATCGGAATCTTTAGCCTCGCTTTCTCTTATACTAATATATCTGCAAAAAAATCAGAAGGATAATAGTTGAAGGATTAAAAATTAAACAAAAATTATTTAAATTTTAGTATTTTTTTTCATAAACAAAAATATGAATATCATTAAAATATAATGGATTAAACCTCTTCTTTTTGTTCACCATCATTCGGCGAATCTGGGACCACATCTTTCCTCTTCTTTTCTCCATAACTTCCAAGTATTCCCTTTGTTTTCACCACCCCTAACATCTACAGTTACATTCAACTCGTAGAGTAAATGGAAATGTTTATTAATGGTGCCAACGATGTACCATTTTTCTCTAGTCTGTAAATATGGAAAGCAAATTTCGAAAATTAAGTAACATTCATCTTTTAAGGTGAACAAGTCAGAATTTTTGATTAGACTAAACCGTAGCCAAGCCTTTGTTTGAGGTATTATTGGTGATGTTCAGTTCTTCCTCATTTCTCCAAATATTTGCATATCTTTGCTCTTTGCTGTATTTATTTCCACACTCTTTCGGAGTAATTCCTCTCTCCATTCTACCACTCCATTTTGAAAATTTTCTTTCGAATCCGTAATAAGGATGATGTCATTTGCAAAAACGAAAATCTGGTGACAAAATTGGAACGAGTTTCCAGTATCCGACAATAGTTCAGGGTTTTCTTTTCTTGCTCACCTTTAGTGTTTCATCTAGGAATGCTGTAAAGAGAAACGAGCTTAGGCTATCACTTTTTTGACCCCTTTTCAAAGAAAAATGTTTTGGATTCTTGTCAACTGAGACGCACTACTCCTTTATGTTTGTGGTATGCTGACTTTATTGCATCCATTAGATTTGGAGAATTTCTTTCAACTTAATGCATCCAAAATCTCTGTGCGGAGGGCTGAATCAAGTGATCCCATTAGGTCCAAAAAAGCGGAAAAATAAACTTTATTCCCATATGTGTCGTCGGTTTTTTACAGAATGACCCTATGGAAATTTTTATAATATTAAACTTTTAAGCACGTCTTTAAGAATTGAAACCTTATTTACTGATTTAAAAGCACAAGCAGTGAGTTACTATAAGTAATAAATAAATAGTTACTATAAGTGCGCAATGTTCTAATTTCGCATAATGATAATTCATCACAGTACTTAGTGATTTTAAGAAATTTTTTTTCCAACCCTTGAGTTTGCCATAACTTTCTATCCAGAGTTACTATTAAAGTGGGAATGTCAGGATCCATTTTTCGGAGTCGCCGAGAAAAAAATATTAAACGACCTCGTTAGGATTCAAACCCACAACATTCAGTACGGGACACTCTGGGAGCATATGTATATCTATGACCTCACGTTCCTACCGAAAACGTTCTCCAAAGTGCAGAAATAGAACAATTCCCGGTTCACTTAATTATTAGACGGAGATGGGATTCACCTATTAAGATGATCTTTA